CATATAAGACTTTTAGCATGCATAATTCTTATAAGTAAAAAAATATAAGTGTAATTATAGTATTATGTAAAGAACTATATATTTTGTTCTCTAGAAATATGAAAAATGTGAAAAAATTAAGCGAACAGGAGCTTCAGTTCAACTTCAAAACATCCTGGCATGATCAGTATAAGGATAGCGCTTGGATTTTCATTGGAGGTCTTCCTTATGATTTAACTGAAGGCGATATTATTTGTGTTTTTTCTCAGTAAGTTTAAATATTGTATGGATATCTGTTGTTAGTTATTATATTTATTCCTAAAAACTACAAGAACTTATGTTTTGTTATCAGTAAGTATTAATAGTGTTTGATTTTTTTTTTTTCACAGATATGGTGACATTGTAAATATTAATTTAGTAAGGGATAAAGGAAATGGTAAATCCAGAGGTTTCTGCTTTATATGTTATGAAGATCAGAAAAGCACGATTTTAGCTGTTGACAACTTAAATGGTATCAAGGTATGTATAGATTTTATTTTGGTTCTAGTTCATGAGTGCTCTGTCTGGATGAAACGTGGCCAAGATCACTTTGATCACACTTGTGCCTGGAGTGCTGGAAATAGCCGAGTTTGTATGGAGGCGACCGATCTTCAGATTAGATAATTGACCTCCACTTGTGTACTTGTACATTTATTTATATTTCCAACAATTAACCTTTGTTATGATTAAATTAATTAGTACAGGCAAATTCTGGGCATCGATAATCCATCAGTTCCTAAACTCATTTATTGGTCTACAAATGGAATTAAACACATTTCTTTATTCATGAATTGAATCACCTATGGCTGATCGGCGAGTCGATGGATCCTCTAAGTAACTTCATTATAATCTTGATGTTGTTATTTCTTGATTTATTTTACTTACTTACATTTAGTTTAATTTCTATCAGTGTTTATTTCCATTTTGATATTCAACAATTCAATAGGTAAATATTTCCTTATTTTTCATGTGTTGTTTCCTTCCAGGAATGATAATCTTCTGATAAAATTCAGCAGATCATTCCTAAACTAATCAATTGATGGAATTAGTGCTGAATTTAGAAACTTGCCCTAAGAGGGGCAACTCATTTTCCATGAACACCCATTACATGCACTCAGTTATTGCTTTTGTAATAATAAATGTTGTATATTTAATAATAATAAATGTTATTCCTGTTTTAGTTACTTGGAAGAATAATTAGGGTGGACCATGTCGCGGATTATAAAACCCCAAAGGAAAATCAAAATTTCACAGAAGAAACTAAAAAACTTCATGAAGAAGGGTGTGCTGTTACATTTGTACCAAAAATCAAAACTGAGCCTGTCGATGATTATGAAGTTGATGTTGGTGAGTGTTCATACATGAAAAATTTCAAGTTTTCATTAAATCTATTTTTTTGAGTATTTTGGCTAGAACTTGCTTTCAAAAGAAACTAGAGAGATTACTATACATCAATCGACTAATAATTTTGAGTATGTCTATGTACTTTTTATATTAAAAGTTATTAAATCAAATAAAGAAAAATTACTTTTTAAATTTTAAAATCCTTTTATCAATATTATCAAAACACGGAGAGGCACTAAAATTAGCTATAAAGTGTTCTGGCAGTGCTGCCTAGTTAATTTTGCCAAAAATCCTGAATTTCCCCGGGTGGAATTTCTTCTAAAATATAATACAATAATATACAGCAATTGTAGAATTCATTTGTATAATGAGATGAAACCTTTTTTCAAAATTTCACTTGATATCAAATGTAAAAAAAATATATATTCTTTTACTGTACAGTTATTGAATGGCTGTTAAGCAAAAGAAATATGTTTTAGGTTGTTTAGGATTTTTATTACACTTTTTGAAATAATTATTTTTAGAAACAAGAATTAATTATTCACTTAAAGCAATTTATTTTTATTTCAGGAAAAGTGAAAAAAATTAAAAAAGAAGAACCAGACATTAAAATTAAAAAAGAAGTAAAGAAGGAAAATGAGAAGAGAAAGCATAAAGAAAAGAAGAGTAAAAGCAAAAAGGTGGATAAAAAGAGCAAAAGGAAAAAAAGAAAGCACCAAACAAGTGACAGTAGCAGCAGCAGCAGTTCTAGTAGTAGTGAAAGCTCTAGTAGCGAATCCGATTCCGATTCTTCAGATTAATTTTAATTATTATTGAAAGTGTAAATATTATTTTTAAAACCAATAAAATTTGTGTAATATATTGTAAATAAAGTAAATATTTGTAAATTGACCCGCCTTTGCCTTCAGCTTCAACTGTATCATGGCAAAGTACTTCCTCAATGTACTTTCTTTAAGTAGTCAACCATCCACTATGGCTCCATGTTTCGATCATGTCCTCCCAGATTATCTTGAAGGTTTTTGAAAGTCCTATAGAGCTTTGCTTCTTACTAGTATATTTATTCTTGCAGGAGGTCCAGACGACTTCCAGCAGGGCCATTCTTTGGATCGATACAAGTCTGTTGTTTTCAGTGTGAGATTTTGGTTAAAGAAGGCAGCTGCATACCTCAGGATACCTTCTACAACCCTTCTGTAGTCATGGTTGTTAGGTATCTAAGGCCTCAGAATGTGCTCCCTATATGACTCAGTTCCTGGGGCATGAATTGTCCTTCCCTTCCTCGCCTTTAAGGCTATACGGGGGTTTTCCCGGGCCAGGGAGTGTGCGCGGGGATTTAAAAACTTCTCCGGGCACCGGGACGCGAACTCATGACTATTTCTTTATCAAAGTCTTATGTATCAGGTTGCCGGGCAACGGCGGTGCAGTGCACACGCGTTAGCCTATTCGGCTACCCCGCCCATATATAAAAGAGGTGTTGCCCGGCAAGTTGATAAACTGAAGATTACAAGTTCAAAGCCTGGGGAACTATGTCACTAATCTCCAGCCCTTTCTCCTGGCACAGAAATCCCTTATAGCCACAAAGGTGAGAAGAAAAAATTATAAGACTCAGCCCGTTTAAAAGTACTATTTTACTGGTACGGCTCACCATAGAAAATAGCATATTTTGTCTCCACAGTTAAGTTGTCTAGAAATGACATTATATCCAGAATGCTTCCTGACCGCAGAAGGGTGAAACTGTTAGCTGCATGAATGTTCTAGATAAAATTATCAAATCGAAGAAGAGTTTTGATGATAACAGTCACATTGCTACATTTCATTACCTTTTTCTTATTTATATCTAGCCAAACAAAATTAAAAGAAAAATTGTTTAAGATTTAAACAAAACTACAGCAAATCATTTTTGTAGGCTTGAAATAAAAGAGTATTTTATAGAGCAATTCAGATATACATTAATCCAATTTAATCTTAAGTAAATACTTATTTCCAAACCTTGAAAAATTTGTCTTTTTTAATCAAAGTGCTGATTTACTAATTACCTTATGACAAAACATTACCTGTAGTGATTTCGTTACAAATATGCAATATTACTGAAGTGATCGTACTAATTGTAAGTAATAAATTTAAAATCAGATATAAATCATCAACTCTTAAAATATATCATCTATCATGAAGCTGATGTTTTCCATTGAAAACATTACAACAAACAATAACTTTGTTGTAGGTTAGAGGCTAGTTAACATTTTATCATTGGGATATATGATGTCCTATATAACCAGGATATATCCATAAACCTCCCTATAAAGTTCAGCATATACAGTGTTGAATTATAAGATGTCGAAGCTTTCAAAATAGTAAATAGAAAATATAAGAATAAGAATACAAAAGTCGTAATTCTGATTCCATTACCATATGCAATTCACTCAAAAACACACATCAACAACATATTTCATCCTATTTAATAAATAATATAATAGAAGTTCACCGTTCCACAAATAACAAATTTGAGGTTCAATGGGTTCCAGGTTATGAGGGTTTATATGGGAATGAGAGCTGATATGATAGCAAAACAGTGTTCTGGAAGGACGGAAAATGCGGAACTGCCTCTACAGGAAATTTGCAGATGGGTGAAAAAACACTTAATTAGTGAATGGCAGGATAGGTATGCTTGGGAGCCAAGTTCAAAAGGTAGAGATCATTTCACTATTCAACTTAACTTCTCTGACCAATGTATCGAAGGCAAAAATATTGAAAATGTATAATTTATAACTAAATTTATTTACTGTCAGAAATGATTTGAGTAAAAAGAGGAAGGATGTTTTAAGCTTGATTAGGATTTTTATTTTAGAAAACTAAACTTTTAGTAATTTATTTTTATCACTTTTATTTCGTTATCATAAACTTAGAGGAGGTAAAAGTTGACATTTCACATGTAAACCTCTGATTTAATCTATTGTGAGCAATGGGGGATTCTAATATTAATTTAGTTTCTTTATTACTATTAACAGTATAATAAATATCCATATATCAACTGTGACATTTCTGGTTAATATATGCTCTTTTAAGGATATGCACCTCTCTATATGCTCTCTTAATATATGTACCACAGGTCGAACGATTGCTTGCCAGCCAGATCTTGACACAGATGTATATATTACAAAGTATCTGTATGTTTTTCTTTTTAAATAAATGTGTTTAAAAGTCCTTTTTGCTTAAATTTTATTCATTACCCTTGTTTGATTGCAATATAACAACCAGTACCATTATTGACAGTCAAACATGGATGAATATAGTGTGGTCGTCTATAACGACAAAGTTTATCCCTTCAAGATCATTAATAATGGCATCCACGGTAAATTTATTTCCAATTTGAAAAAAAAAAATAAAATTTACGTACTAATAAAATTTCCTGACTTTAACAATTTTTCCGTACTTTGATTATTTCCATTTTTCTAGATCGGTTGCCATCCTGAAATGGTAACTGCACAATTAAGTTACTAACTCTAATATGGTTTAAAATTCAAAAGAAAACATGAAATATTACTTGTGATAACTTTAATTAACCACAACCACTTAGGTTTCTTATCTCTAACAACTACTTATAAAAATAGTAAAACCTCAGGAAATAAACACTTAAACCTTTTAGTTATAGAATAGAGTTTATTTAATACAAAGAAATAAGGATAAAAGAAAATTAACAAGGAGTTCCCACTGAAGCATTTTCATATTTAAAACTCACATCGTCAATTCCTGAAAAAAAAATACAGAAAATTAGATATAATAAAATAAATAAATTCTATACTATAAATAAAATTTTTCAAGGGATCAACAATAAAGAAATTTTAGTCTAAACCAATATTTTAAAAACCTATACATCTGTCTCTTTTTATTCTTATGGAATATTCTTCTGTTTACTGAATAATCATGTCAATCAATATTCTAGTAATTGTTTGATATAGAAATCTTAATAATTGTAATAATCTAGCAATTTATCGCCCTAAAACCCCGTACTCCTACCCACCCTAGAAATCTTAGCCGATCATGTGCCGCAATAAATATATTATAAACAATTAACAAGTTATAAATATTAAGTTTTAAAATTTAATAAGCTATCAAAATATTAGTTACTTTAATGTAACAGGTAATTTGTGCACAACTAGATACAATTTCATAACTTGAAATTTACGATTTCTCAGGATTGCAATTTTAAATGGTGCATTAATTCTGTGAAACAGTGCAACTCGATTAAGTCAGCCATATTGAGAATTATCTGAACTCATTATTTAAATAGCAACATTATTTACATTTTATATAGCCAATAAAAATGAATTTTTTCATCATTAAGAAAAAAATATTAGTCAATTTTGATGGCTTTATAGTCGTCAAACCCCAAATCTATTCTTCATATATTACGATTTTTCAATTAAAGCATTAAAACTTTTGTAAGATAAATAGATTAATAGACCAAGCATGACACATTGTCAGCTTAATGGGAGAATATTACTGATATTTAAATATCATATAAATAAATAACAATTCTTATTACTGGAAACGTAGTATTTGAATAGATTTATATAAAAAAGAAAAGAAAGCCACTGATGGATAATTAAAAAAATATTCAATTCAAGAAATTAATTATTTTATAACTTTGCAAAAAAATAAAAATTTATTTTTAAAAAGTTGAAAACATTTAACGAGGATATACATGAATACTGCCAAAAACTTTAACATTAAAAAATAAACACTGCTACCACATCCAATATGAGAGGTAACTTTGGAAATCATTTAATTAAATTTAAATCAATACAACCTAAACATTGACCAAGGAAATATAAATTGAGTATTAAATGGGTATCAATGAAGTAAACCATACTTAACACACTGCACATTGACTCAAGCATATGGCGAGAAGTGTTGAATTTAGTGTTAAGATGAAGGATAAAAAAAAAATATTGTGCCAATTTTTTATACTAGAATTTAGACAACTTACTTAACAGTTTAACCCTAGCAATATACTTTTTTCACATGAGCAAGAGCACGAAAATAATTTTTAAACAAACTATATACTAGAGGAACAGATATATTAATTAAATATGTGAACTGGAATAATAAATATATTTGAAATGATAATTCCCAACTAAAACCGATACAGGCATAATCTTATAATTGCACAAATATAAATAACCACTAATGTGCGAATTTATTAGTAGCTTAATTAGCGATGCTATCATTTTGTGGAATGTTTTTTCAATTAATACTTTACACTACATATAAAAAATTAACTATAGTTATAGTCGATTTTAAATAGTGAACCTGAAAAACACAACAATAATGTTTTGATGAACCTTACCATAATCGCATTAACTATATCATTCTGGTTATTTGTTAGTGCTTTAACGGCTTTATTTCTGCTAACGTTCGCCTGTGACATCACAAGCTCTATATCCTTTTCTTCAATTCCTGTTGCGTCTAATTCTTCTTCCTCGCTCTCTTCTTGGATTGGAGCTACAACCTGGAAAAATGAGGGAAAAAAATTGTTATAGTTTTTACTTTCCTTATGGAGGTGGATGAAATGTATTTATTGAAATCTGGTCAATAATAAAAGGTCCTAAGCATAATAATAAACTTCCATACTTTCTTCATTAATACTCACATGATGATTAACGTTTTGGGGCAATTCTACTTATCATTAAAACTATTCTTTTCTTATCAAGTTTAAATTCTAAAAATAAATCATCCTCCATGAATTATTTTTATTTATACATTAAAAATACTTATCTTATCGTTCTAGCACACTTTGCCTTTTATCAAACTTGTCCGTTTATAAAGGCAAAGTGTGCAAGAAATAAAAAGATATATATTTTTAATGAATAAATAAAAATAATTCAATGAAATGGAATATGATCATCTTATGCATTTAAACTGAAAAAAAAAATTATCATATGATTACTAAAGAATAAAAAAGATGTAAGTTGAATAAAATGTCCAGCACCTTAAATATACTTAGAATGGCTTACAAAAACAACTTTTAAAATACAATAATTTGGTCAAATTTTCAGTATATAAATGTGTAAAATAACAAAGTGAAATAGAATTAAATGAACTGTGAATAATTAAGTACCGAAATCATTTAAAACTATAGTTTAGACTTCATTTAAGAAATGCATAATTATCTGATGAGAAAATTATCTTGTGAACTGAAAAAAAAAAAAAGAAAATTGTCTTTTGTTATCTCTTCACTTGACCAGCCCTGAACGTCGGCAAATATAAAAATAAATACAATCATTTATTTTTACTATTATTTTATTTTTGGACTAATCACCCCAATCATTCTTCTCTTCAGAAAGAAAATTATTTTAAAAAATTACTACATTAATTAAAATTTATTCAATCCCATATCATCAGAACATGTTATTTTTAAAACATGACTAAGCTATTATAGCTGTTTCTTATCTATCTTGAACTTACGGTTGTTGCGCCAGTGTCTGTGGCTTGAGAAAGTTCAGGGGCCTTGAATTTTTCAGCAGCCGCCATTTGAGCTTGCTGACTAAGATCTTCAATCTGAAATAAAAAGAATAATACAAGATTAGACAATAAAATCAATATTTTACAAGCTTAACCATACTAGTGAACTAAAATAAATAAAAAATTAAATCTTAGAAATATATATATATTATCATTAATCCTACTTCAATATTAAATTAATCAAAAACAAACGCCTAATTGATGATTTAAGAGTTAAAATAGTCATGATTTTATCAAAATTTACATTAAAACAAAAATATTAACAGTCCCTGTTTCGGTAAAAGATAACCAGTTCTAGATTAATTTCATTCCAGAACCAATTCGGCCCAAGAATGTTAATTAAATAAAAAAAATGCTAACACCCAACCCACCAGCAGCTAATAAAAATTAATTAATATTTTAAAAATGACAAAAAGATTCTTATACAGTTTTGGATTTCAGCATATAGATAGTAACAGTATGTACTAAATAATAATTAAATCATCTTAACAAACAATATAGAACACGTACAGCATAAAAATATATGTTTGTTCTTCAAAAAGATATATAAGAAAAAGAAAAACTCAGATTCTAAAACTGAATTACAACACTTACGAGCTTTTTTTTTTACCTTTAATAGTTATCATGATCGCACTGTTAATGGAATTCCGAGATTATTCAATGTACTGATTTAATTTTATAACTATTTTTGACTTCCACTCACTCGAAAGGAATAAACAAACCCTTAACCGTTCCTTTACAGTTGCCAGACAGCTCGGTCACTTCTTTCTAAATTCTGACACATTCAGCCATTATTGGAATTACTACTTAGTATGATCATGAGATTTCGTGCCAATTTATCCAAGTGAAGAAATACTTAGAAAGTAGTAGTTACTTAATATTAATATATCCTTCAAAAGACAAATTAGTTATGATATATTTTCCTAGTTCTATTACCTGCAGACATTGAAGTGTAGAAGACAGTAAGCTAAACCTTACTAATTTAATTAAATATTACAAAAGACTAAATAAGCTGCAATTAACTACAATATAATTCAGTATGCTGAGTAAAAGATATTTTTAAAATTACCTTAGTTTCACCAAAAATGATGTAAGTATCAGATGCAGGGTTTTTGAACACATCTGGTTTGTTAATAACGAATAGAATATTCTTTGACTTCCGAATGGTAACTCTTGAAACTCCTTGGATCTATAATAGAAAATATGTATATGAAAATAATAACTTTAAAAATTATACTTCTATGATATAATTCTGAAATATAAATGAATGAAGTGTTTTTTAATGTACAATGAATCAGTTTCCAATTGGATATTAATTCATCATATGCAAATCTTATAATATTAAAGAATAGTAGTTATAGCTAATGTTTGCCATGATAAAGGACTAGATCAATAATAATAAACATGCATTGGTAAACGAATAATAACGGATTTTAAATTAAACAGTAAACAACAATTTAAGAATTTGTTGATACATAAACTATTAATATTTATCTTTTGATAAAAGCTAACAAACTAGATTTTATTGACTTACTGGTTTCAATCCAAGTTTCGACATAAGTTTACGAGCTTTTTTTTCCCCTCGAGACTGTTTAGCTTTGCTTACATCAGGATTCAAAGAGCCGGAACCAGTTGGCTCCAAATCTGGGATATCATCGGGCTCAGAATCAGTTCCAGAATCAACTTCTACGGGTTTCTGGTCGACTTCGGTTTGCTCGGGCATTTTGTCTGTTGCTATTGTCTAAAAATAAATATAACAAGCATATTAAATACAATAAAATACATGAAAGCCTTATAATCTAGGACGATACTAAATAAGGGGTTTTAATAAGAATTTTCACAACACTAAGTCCAGAGTAGAGAATAAACCATGATGGAGTATTTAATAACCTAATGTAAACTGGATCTTTTTGACGCCGACCTACCTTCATTTTGGTCGCTTTTATCTCTTCTTATTAGAGTTAATAATTGTTGAAAGTTTTATAACGAGAGTTAAAACTTAATATCTAACAGAGTTAACCGCCAAAGGTTGATCACGCTAGAACAAGTTCATGTTAAGAGAATCCAAATCTTTATTGGACTGAGTTTACCTGTTATTATATAAAAAAAAGGCTATGTAAAATAAATATAAATATGTATAATGGTCGGATGGCTAAAATAAAAATAAATAAAACTTACGAATAAGTAACGAATACACAATAGAACTAGCTTAGGGTGCAAAGACCTTCATGATCATTCCGATCACAAAATGATACCAAAATTTTAATTAAAATATTTATGCAATAATCAAAAAGAACGAGTCATTTATTTATATATTGCATACTCTACTAATTCTTTTTAAAAAACAATAAATTAGCAAGAATATTTTATAAATGAATAAAACAGATTATTTTTCAGCAGAATTTAAATATAAAATTTCAATTCCTTTTTATTACCGCACTAGTCATTATATTTATTTTTGAATAAACAAACAGAAAAAATATATTTCATTTACAATATATTTGATACATACTCAGAATGGATGGACGGTTATTTCAACGAACGACTGATTAATCGATTTGTAACCGGTTGATTTATAAAAAAACCGGTAGCCCGAAAAACTTTCAAATATTTTATATTAGATAGCTTGTTAAAAAAAACTATTACATTAATATTATTAAACTAAGGGGATAATAATAGCAAGACATCCATTTATTTATTCAGTTAAACCATCATCTACAGACTATTTAAAATTAGCTAATTATTTTTTTTAACCAACCAAAGATTAACTTTTAACTGATAATTGCTACCCAATCAGAGTATTTCATTTAAAAAAATTAATTATTTATTTTCCTGGAATGTAGTTTCATAATAAATCTCTCTCCTTTGTATTTTTAATCTTGTGTTTATGGTTAATATAATATAAATTAAATCCTTAACTAATCTTTACATATTAAAATAATTCTGAGAAAATTCCAAATTTAATTTAAAGGAAAAATACTTTCATAGTTTGCCTTTCAAAATCAACCATTTGAGATATTTCAACAACTTATGTTTTTAAGTGCTCATTTATAATTAACTTTATAATCTATTGGTGAACTTTATTTTTTTTTTTATAGTCAAATTAACAACTTATTCACTGGGGATATAAATATAATCAAAGAATTGGTTAAAACCACTAGGTAATATTAAGTAAAATGTTTTTTAGAAAATACCATACAATGTTTAAATAAATAGATATTTATATAATCGTGATATAAACTCTTTTTTTTTAGTGATTTCATTAGTTAGAATTCAATCAGTTATTTAGTTAGATTTTAGTGTTCTAAAATCAACTGAATAAACTTTGATTTATGTATATAATATTATTTTAGTAATTTATAATTGGCAATAAATATCTTTAAGATAATTATAAATAATGAGATGGTTAGTGTAAAATTGTGTAACTTCATCCATTATAATCTATTTCTCGGAGAATAAAAAAATAAATTAATTTTCAGTATTTTTTTTTAGATGCAATAGACTAATATAAAAAATTAATTTAAATTGAAAACAAAATTAATTAAAGGTTGCTATTGGTACAGTAGCAATATAATTCAGTGTTGAGTATATTTCTTTTCTTTTATAATGTATTTCACAGCAGTAATGGATTGAGCATTTAATTTGGGAGCTAATATTTATTTTTTAAAATAGCACTAATTACAGTTATAAATAATTTCAGAGATATAATGTTCTTATTTTTCTTGACCGAACACGCTTACATTTAGTTTCTAAGTTCATATGTTCTGAATAATATAAATATAATATAAGCGAATATAGTGGTATTATAAGAATATAAGAGGCTGAATCCCTCTCACAGAAGCTGCTATTTTAATAAGAATAGCTGTTACTTTTAAATGTTAACGATTTTTAGTTTTTAAATATTTACAACAGACAAAAGGGAATAACAGTTTGTTTTAAGTAACTCATATATGAATAGTTTTTTTTTTTCCAAATAGAACCCTAATCGATTTTTATTGAACTAAGTATCATTTCTCATATAAAAATTTTCAATGTATTCGATGGTGCAATTATTGTCAATAAAGAACCTTGGTGGAAAAACGTGGTATGAAAATAAGTTGTTGTTTTTCTGAAAGTGATATTTTTTATAATCAATATAGTCAAACTTGTAACTCTTGAGTATTCTTTAAAAAAAAAAATCATCAAATGCTTTGTTCACTTTGTTATTGAAATGAAAATGAAAAACATATTTTTTTATTGTACCATTATTGTATATAATAAATTAATTTTTTATAATGCAATTTTTATAACTTTTTTTCCCCGAATCATACTCTATTTTTTTCTTTCCAAAACACCCCAATTTTTTTTGTTTAAAAACGAGCCTTGAAGTTTATTTTTTATTTCTACTGGAATAATCAGCAATTTTTGAAAATATGTTCTATAAATAAAGATTTCTCAATTTATTTTTTTTTAATATTGGTTTGAATAGAATTTTTTTTTTTTGCTTTTCCTGAAAAATTGTTAACAACTGATTAATGTTCACTTTGGAAATAAACGACTCATATTGTAGAGACAAGTTAATATGTTTTTCTTAACCATAAAAGTCTTGAAATATTCTGAATATATTGAAATATTAAAGTCTGATGTCTTTAACTTGATAAGGCAAACGCACTCCTAAAATTCATGTTTGTGTTTCTCTTTTATTTATCTTTAAAATTTTGTGAGTGTTCCCATAGAAGTTGGCATTCAGTAAATATTGGGAAGCCAAGGACAGAGTAACATGATAACAGTGTTATTAAACGCATTGGTACGGGAGGGAGGAGGAAGATAAAACACCATACATAAAAGAGAAGCTCAGTTATCATTTTATCATCTACAATATAATGTACTTAGTACTTATTTACTCTGTGGTTTGTTGAACATTCCTCAGGAGAATAGTGGTAACCATCTCCGCCTCTTACGCAGAAAACCGGGATTAGATTCCCATCAGGAAAGTTACTTTTTGTGTGCTGAGTGAGCTAACGGATTGTGTAAAACAGGTAGCCCAGCAATCTGATAAACCAAAAATTACGAGTTCAAATCCGCATACGGGGGGTACTTAACTCTGATATTAATGCCCTCTCCTCTGGCTGGGATAAACCCCGTATATCTAAAAAGGCAAGGAAGGAGAAAAAATGTGTTGCCCGCCAGCCTGATGAATTAAAGATTACGAGTTCAAATCCTGGTGCTGAGTGGACTTAATTTTGGCATTAATCTCATGCCCTCTCTTCTGGTCAGGGAAAAACCCCTTATAGCCAAAAAGGAGAGAAAAAAGAAAAAAAAAAATATGGTGTCCATTCACACAACTTTTCTACTAATTTCAGAAAAGTTTTTATATCTTAAAATATGTCCATTCAAAAAAAAAAAAAAAAATGAATTAGATTTATTTGCCTCAAAATTTATGAAAGAAAAGATTTGGCTGAAACTTCTTTGATAAGCTAGAGCAATGTAAACTAGCTTGTGATAGATGAGCATAAAAAAATTAATACAATCTAATATTGCTAATCAAAAACTTTTTTTCCATTGCCCAATTGTGACACACATTAATTTCTATTAAGAGAGGGAAAAGTGAAACCTGTGTGATGCGAGCACCAGATTTTTTCATTTTGACTTACTTTTCTTTTTTCTCTCTCTTTCATGCCTTTCTGATACCAGGGTTTGAACTCATAAATATGAAATTGAATAGCTTCTATTCAACTACTAACCTTATAAATAGTTGTCTAAAATGAATGATTTTTATATAGTATATAGTTTTTATAATCATCACCTTTAAAAAAAAAAAAAAAAAAAACAGTAGTCAAAAACCTACAAAATAAAATAAGAAGAAATAAAATCGGTCGACTGGTTCCCCACATAATCTTGGCATAGACAGACAATGGCTGAGAATGTATTTTTCGAACTCAGGTGTCTCTGAAACGTATACATCCGTTGAAAACCTCACATTGGAAATTTTACCCGATTTCAATACTTTCCTTAACTACTAGTATATGTAGGAAAGTAAAAAGGTTTCTTGAACTTGTACATTATTTTTAAGTGGTAGCGGAGGGGCTGTTCCTTCTTCATAAAATAAGTAAATTGTATGTATATTTATATACAGTATGAGATTGAATATGATGGAGTGATGAGATCTTGGGTTTCTCTTTTTTTCTGTCCTGATGATGCCTGAATCAGGGAAAGTTTGATGAGTTAATTCCTTCTTTACCTGCATTGTAGAGACACAAGACTGCGTGGTTAAAAATTTTCCGATTATAAACTAATAAAGAATAATATTACAACAATATGCATCTAGCTCTTTAATACTCGGTTAAATTTGTTTATATGGATTAAATGAAAAACACAAAAATTAACAATACATATATTTCAAAACAGATTTTTAAAAATCAAAGTGCTGCATATTTTTATAACCAAATAAACTAAAAATATATATATAATACAAAGGAAATTAACAATATGGTAATCAAATCATAAATAATTAATTTTTTTTAATTTGGTATGCCTGTAAATACATTATTTTTTTTTTAAGAGCCCACAACTGCCACCGGAGTTTCAACTGCTGAGGTAACGTCAAGCTCTTTACATTTGCTGGGTGGAGTTACCGTTCCATGTGTTGTTTTCGTCATTCCCGTCGTTTATGTCTCTCAGGCTATGGATGTTACCAGATCTTCTCACAGATGTCCTCCTGTTGAGACAGTAATAACTTATTCTTTAAGCAAAAATATCTTTTAAAAAAATAATAAACTTTAATAAGTCACTTTGAAGAGTTCTCAGTTATATGAGATTTCCTCAATAATAACTGTTCAATTTTTTATTATTCCAATAAATTTTGATTAAAAAATTTTACAACATACTCCAAAATAAAAATATTATTTCAATAAATCTCTCATTGGAAAGTCATAAATAGTCTTCTGGAGCAATATAAATTATTTAATCTAAGTAATAGTAATGAATTTTTTGAAAATTTGTGATGAAATAATGTTAGCCCAAAAAAAAGTTTTAATATTATTTGATGCATATAATTTTAAGAAAAGGAAGTTTTTACTGTAGTAAAAATAACAAGTAATAACATAATAAACTGATCAGATCTTTACCGCCCGACAGGTGCTAGAGAAATCACCGGAATACAACGTCAACCTGCATCACCTCTACATCGATTTTCAGCAGGCATACGACTCAGTGGATAGGCAGATTTTGATGAGGGATCTCCTCTCTCTGGGTGTATATAAGAAGTTCACTCGCTTAGTAAAAATGACTATGGCAGATACCAGATGCAGAGTGAAACTACAAGAATTGCTGTCTGAGGAGTTCTCTGTGGTTTCGGGAATAATGCAAGGAGACACCAAGGCTACTCCCTTTTTTAACATGACCATGGAGAAGGTGGCAAGGGCAATAAGAACCAACTCGGGAGGTAACATCTATGAGACAATGGATTTAAAATGGTCACGAGTTCGCGTACCGGTGCCAGGGGAGTCTTTTAAATCCCCATCCAATCCTCCTGGCCTGAGAAAACCCCATATAGCCTTAAAGGCGAGTACCCAAAAAAAAAAAAAAAGTACCATCTTTGACTGCTTCACACAAAACATGACGTAGAGATTGTGGCAAGGATGCTCCCAGCGCTGGGCAAGTGCATTAAAAGAATTTGAGACCGCTACAGCAGCTCAGAGTCTATAAATAAACGAGCAAAAGACGAATGTACATGAAGAGCTCACGGCAAAAACATGAGAAGGCTCTTGGAGTGTGGGAGCGTAAGATTCTCAGGAGAATACGAGCCTGTATGTGAAGATGGCGTTTGGAGGTCCCGATACAATCAGGAGTTGCGACAACTCTACAGGGACACAGATCTCGTCAGTGTCATTAGGCAGGACGCATAAGATGGTTAGGACATGTGGAAAGGATAACAGCGGATCGAGTGCTGAGAAAAATATTATATGGACGATCTGGAGGTGCAAGAAGGAGAGGAACGCCATCACTCCGTTGGCTTGAGGATGTCGAGGTGGATTTGAGATAGCTTGGTGTCAGGCGGTAAAGAGCTATCGCACTGGACCGAAACGAATGGCGACATATTGTTGAGAAGGCCAAGGTCCCACGCGGACTATAGTGACGAGGAGTAATTAAGTAAAAATAACAAGGAAATATGATAAAAAGAGAGAAAATAAAAACAAGATTTTATATTAACTTGAAAGAAATTATTATCACTAACAAGTACAGCCAATGAGCAGTACAATATATAGCTTATAAATATTTGTTTAAATTTACAACATTTTACAATGGCCAATAAAAGCTGAAATCATATCTAATAAAACATTATATCTTGTTAGAAAGATTTTTTATTGGTGAAATGTTTATCTTCTTATTAGCTTGTTATACTTTTGTTGTTGTTAGTTGTGGTTTTAAGGCACAAAACTTTGAGGTCATCAATGTCTGTGTTTAATTTTATTATAATTATGTGACTCTGTACCCAGATAAATATAACGTTTTTCCCAATGTTTCGAGCATATTTAGACTTGTTATATCTTATTTTTGTTTAGCCTTGACAACAGCTTAATACTTTTTTTTTTAATTTTTTTTCTATTCCCACAACCTACTATTTCTAGAATTACCTCTCCGACACCTCCACCATAGTTTAAGAATAGTTTTAGTTTACTGATATTATTCAAGTACTTGTTGATTAGACAAAGACTATCTATTTTCTGGCTGATTACCATGTTAATAGCAAAGGAAATAAAATAATAAATATTATTATAATATTAAATAATACCGATTGTTTCACTGGATTTTTCACACTGACAGTCAAATATAAATAAAATACATTTTGTCTGACATAGAAAAAAATTAAGTTCATAAAATGACAACTTTATAAGATATATAAATGAAAAAACCCTCAAGAAACTTAGATACTATAGCCAAAGAGGTGAGTCGAAATTGTATGACTTATATGAAGAAAGTTTCTAGCCATACACAAGTATAATACCCATCATCCTCAACATCCAATCGGCATTAAACTGCCAACTAAAAGCAGCATCTTAAATCGGAAATAAATAAATAAAAAGACAAATTAACTAGAAATATTAGCATCATCCCAAGACAATTCAACACATACACACAAATTTAGCATTTTTAGAATTTTCTTGGGGTCTATAATTTCTTTCTATTGTTATTTAATCGATGGAAGATGTACTTTGTTCTGCATTTATTGATTTATTGGTGCTCGAGAGGCCTAAGGCTTTATTATTTTTGGTATCTTCTCAATTTTTTATCTTTATATAGGTAATAAAGTATGAAAGTTTTTCTCTTCCGTATATGTTAGTTTATTTATTTTAATTATACAGAAGAGAAAAATGTTTATACTTTATACCTAGATTAACACAAAACACTTTCTTAAGTAAATGATTAAACATCAAATAATATCAGAAGTTCTTTAATATAATTTTCTCTATGGAATATTTTATTGAAATATTGCAACTAAACGGACAGAAACATACATAAAAGCTATATTCTTCATTAACATAACTAATACTGATGACAGATAATTAATAACAAATTGATTGATTTATTAATAATTAAAACTTATGAGAGCAATTGAAAAAAAAATTTTAGTAAAATATTTATGAATCAACCCTCTTACTCCCGATTGTCAGCAGTGAAAGTTTTGCCGATAGTTTTCCAAATTCCGAAGAACTTATTCAGCTTCAATTTCTTGATGGCTGCAAAACCACAGAAGCTAGAAATGGGTTGGTGATAAAACTGTTAACTTTTTAACTGTTTTAGTAACTGCTAGCTTATAAAAATTATTTCATATAAAAATTAACAGTTATAAAAAAAAAAACAGATACTGAAATATCAAAGAACTATTTATAACTTAAAAGTTTTAAAATGTTTCAAGTAAATCAACTAACCTTGACTGCTAATTTATCAACCAGACATGGACTACATATTTTTTGATAGTATACTTTTTATTTTAATTGTATGTGAGTTGTCACACAACTGTTCATTAAATATAACATAAATTAAATATAAAAATTTTATGTTTGTTTAATTTTTTTTTTTAATGTATTCATTCTTCAAATGTCAATCTAGAGAGTGCTTTTATAGACATAAAAGTTTCAAGATAACAAAAACCAAAACAAAGGAACTTAGCATTAGAGCATATGAGTCTGATTTCGATGATTTTTTTTTCAAATAATTTTTTTGAAAATAATTGAGTAGGAATTCTCTTAGCGAAATTACAGCAATCTACAGAGGTCACTGCAAATTGAATTATCACATGTTCAAACTCGGACTCTAACATCTTACCACAACACCTGGTGATATATGTTCGTAGAGAAAAGGCTATTGTTTGGGAACGATAGATTGCCTTACCCTAAGAACTGTAATCTTGGCAATCCAAAAAGTCTTTTACTGTTTGCTAATACTGTCAAAATAATATTCTGAGACATAACAACAAAAACCGTCCCATCCATTTTTTCCCTACAGTCAAAAACCACGGAGTCATCTTTGACTAGAACATCTCCTGGAATAACCACATCTCCCAGATTACCCGAAAAAACCATAACTGTCCTTAAATAACTCCTAAGATTCCGTGATTTTATTCCTCTATAAACCAGATGGCTTCTTGTAACCTCCCTAATAATCCCCCACTTCAACTACGGCTGTTTGGTGTATGGAGGGCTATCTGCCATGTTAGAAATGAGGCTGAAGAAACTCAGTAACTGTTTCATAAGATACATCTTTGGGATCCCCAGGTGTTCGCATGTTTCATTCTGGTACACCGAGTTGAAGTGGCTTTATCCTACTTCGCCAAGACAATTTCTCTTTGTTTTCATTTTCCAACTCCTCAGAACCAAAAATTCTCCCTACATCCGGGAACTCCTTACTCTACGCTCCTTTATCCACTCTCTTAATACTAGGTCTCAACCTATAGATTTATATATCCTCTCCCATAAAACTACTTCTTTCAACAAATCCTTCGTCATTCGTGCTACCTCCTTTTGGAAATCTCTTCCTACCCCTTTAATTCCTTTAAACAACTCCTGTTCCACCACACCACCTACTTTACATTCAAACTACCGCTAACATGTGAAATTACTTGTATCTGTATACTGTTTAATTTCAATCTATTGGACAATTGCAGTAACAATAAGCAGTTAATTAGTTTGTATTTTTTATTATTTTAAGCCAAACGATTACCCATAAATTTGTAATACTGTTATTATTCTTAGGGGACTGTAGTCCCAGAATAAAATTATTTTTTCATTTCATTTCATTAAAAAAACTAGAGCTCACAATAGGCCTGATATGGCTGCAGTGCATTGAACTGCTAATAAAAAAAAAAAAAAAAAGAGTATATACATTGGCTCACAGTCAAAATGATACATCTGGATACTGATAGAAATTATTGAATAAATAAATAGTTCAATCTATATTACATTAAAAACAATAATTTATTGTAATCAATAAACATCATAGTAAAGTGTTATTTTCTTGTTTTTTATGTTATGTTTTAAGTTCTTTTCTTATAATGTCTTTCTTAGTGTGGGGATGTATGGTGGCTTCTAGTATAGGAATTCTTAGCTTTATAGTGGAAATATTTACATTGTATAGTGAATAAACATGCTTACATATATATTTTGAGAAAAAAATTGAAAAAATTGTGGAAAATTTGACTTTAAAAAAAAAAATTGTTTTTATCAGGATAATGATTCAATACACTCTACCGTGTTAGTTAAGGAATGGCTACTTAAAACTGGCCTAAAGTTATAAAAACACCAACATAGTCATCAGATCATAACGTGATAGAAAACCTTTTGGAAAAATTGGAGATAGAAATAAGAAAACGCAAAAATTTCTAGGAAAGAAATCTTTAAAAAATATCTCCTCCCAGAAAGGAACAGGCTAAGCCCAGAATCACCAAAAAAATTGGTCGACTCGATTACAAACGGACTGAAAGGAGTGGTAGAAAATAATGGCTTACCTACAATGTATTGAACTGAATTAATAATATTTAATAGTTAATAAGAAATGAGGTGTATCATTTTGACTGTAAGGTAAAACTATGCAGTTTTTAAAAAAAAATAATAATTTGAAATAATCACAGTTGAAGTTTCTGGTTTTATTTATTTATTGTGACCCCTGAAGTCTTTTTTATATTTTTCTACGGAGTGTATCAACGGATTGAGCCACAGTACATGATTTTTTCAAATTGAAGCAAAATTAGTTCTGTCTTATAAACGGTTAAACCATTGATATTATTCTCTTACAAAAACTATTACAGAAAATCATCATTTATAATTGATCAATAATCATAATACTGTAACTAATGAACAAATAATGATCTAGACATAATAGTAGAACAAGATAAATGGTAAATTTTATATAACATATAAAGTATACTGCTCATGATAATGGTAAGGAGTTACGTACCCGCGGAACGAGGATTGCGGAGGAGCAGGAGATACAGATTCACTTGGCCTGCTGTCAGTGGAAGGTGGTCCGGACGTGAAGTACTGCTGAATGTAATTAGCGACAGAGAAAACTGGTTGTACAAGGTCCCAAAAGAGATTTGAGATTATTTTCAGCCAAGCGGTTGCTTGAGGTCTCACATTACTAACAACTAACTGTAAAAAAAAAAAAAAAAAAGGAATGTCATTAATATATTTAAAAAAAAATAAATTAAAACATTACTGAGTCTTATTTCAATTTTACGATGAAATATAAATGAAATAAAATTAATAATAATCTACTTGACAGAGGTAAAATTGTCAGAATTTCAGATTCTGAAGAACAAAGAAATATCTTGAAAGAAAATTAAATGTAAAAACATAACCAAACAAAAGGTATAAATCAAAAGTTATATGGATAAAATATGGGGGAGTAAAACAAAAATTTGGTTATTTGTGAAATCGGTAAAAGCAAGCAGTTAAGGCAGAATTTTAATTTGAATTGAGAGATTGAACCATTAACTCTTAACAAACTGATAAGATGTGTGCTTTATATCACACCATAGAAGTGATAACATCAATAAGGCGAGATTAATAATACAAAATATAAATTATAAATAATAGCTCATTATAAAGAGGATGAAATGATGAACATTTCACTCACTAAAAATATTCGAGATATTTTAATCTATATGAAAAAACACTTTATGGGTGATAAATATTCAGGACGCAGTCTTTTTTTTTTTTTTAATTTTTTATTTTTTATTTATGGCAACGTTTCAATCCAAACATGTGGATCATCTTCAGGGTGTGGTTTGAGCACTGAGGGTGTTCAAGTACTGGTGTTGAGTACTTGAACAACCTCAGTGCTCAAACCACGCCCTGAAGATGACCCATATGTTTGGGATGAAACGTTGGCATAAATAAAATTTTTTTAAAAATAAGACTGCATCCTGAATATTTATCACCCATGCTATGTAGAACAGTCGACTAACTTCCTTCAAAAAAACATTTTAATCAGTCGACTCCTGCCAACTTTATCCGAGTGTTACTCATGAGAGATCTGACGGCTCAATCTAATTAACACTCCACAAAAAAGAACGCCTACAAAACACGCCTAAAGAAGATTTCACTTAAAAAAAATATATATAAACATCCCTCCAAGTAAAGAAAAAAAAAATCTCAATTTAAAAGATGTCTCAATGAGATTAAAGGTTAATTAAATTTTGAAAAATTAAATTAAAATGTTTTAACAAACGAAGTCATTGTAAATATCTAATATTCATATTTTTAAGATATCGATGATATCTTTTGAGATATGATCAACGACTACCAATATGGGGATTTTTAATTTTTATTCAAATTTCTATATAGACTAAACTGGAGTATTTTTTATTGAAAATTAATATTTCATAATTTAAAATTGACACTTTCTCGCATGAAATATTCTGTGCCCACATAAAGCTTTCATAGCCACTATAATATACCTTCTTTGAACATAATTTCATTGCACTGAATCTTATATAAAACAATTAAAATACAAAAAATAAATAATACAAACAAATGCTAAACACTTGTTGTTATTTCTCTTGTTGAAATTCCGTATTTCTTATACTTATTCATAATTATCCATTCATCAATGGCAGCTTGTGAGTCATAAAGGATAAAAACTCTAGTCCAGTTTGTAGAAACAATAATCTTAAGAGTAATTATGGCAGCACTGATTTTTTCCTTCAAAGTTATTAGGAAGGCAACCAATAGGTGCAGCAAGAGAATTAAGCTCTTACTACACAGCTGCTTTTCCCTTCCATCTTGTTTCAGTGGCTGAACCATCTGTGTATATCCATAAACATTCTTCTTCCAGAAATTAAGAATGTAAATCCTCTAATTACAATTTTTAAGTTTTCATATTTAAAAGAAGAAATAGTGAAGTAGCGACCAAACCTGTCAGATTCCTTCACAATATCATCCTGACTGTGTGGGTGAGTAGAGACCATGCCTGAGAAATGGAAGAAGACCTTAATATGCCCTGTACATAAGAAGGGGGATATGCTTAAGTGTGGTAACTATAGGAGAATATCTCTCCACCCATGTGCCTATAAAATACTATCGAATATACTCTTCCAGCGCCTCCTCCCACATGACGAGCGAGAAATTGGACAGTACCAATGAGGATTCATGCATGGAAAGTCAACAACAGACCACATTTTCTGTCTTCGTGGAATTTTGGAAAAAGGTAGAGAATATGGATTCAAGATGTATTATCTATTTGTTGATTTTAAGTCCCCTTATGATAGCACTGACAGGGATGAACTGTACAAGGCTCACATAGAACTTAATGATGTTCCTCCTAAACTTGTTCGGCTAGTTGGATGAGCATGACGAGCATCGAATACTTTTACAAGTCCAAAGAAAGCGATCGGGGGAGAGGGGGGGGGGTTCTTGACTGTAAGAGGAGTGAGGCACGGAGATGCTTTGGCATGTCTCCTCTTTAACTTCATCTGGCAAAAGCTATGAGAGAACCAGGAATTCAGACAACAGGTACTATTTTCAACAGAACAGTTCAGCTCCTAGCATATACAGATGATATAGATATAGTTGGCATATAACATCAGGCTATAACCCAAGCATTCCTGGCTCTCGAACCTGCGGCAAGACGTCTCGGCCTAATTGTCAACCAAGACAAAACAAAGTATATGGTGTCTGATCAGCCCTCCTCCCCTCCCCCAACAGATTGGTATCAAAGTTGTATTTGATCCCTGTATGTTTAAACAAGTGTCAGAAATCACATATCTTGGTGCACAAGTGACGTGCGACAATAGAATCTCAGTGGAGACGCAGAGAAGAATGATCGCTGTTATTATTGACTCCGTTCCCACCTATCGAGCAGACTTGTCTCGCAACGCAACAAGGTTATCCTCTACAAAACCTTTATCCGCCCTTTTTTGACTTATGGTTCTGAGACCTAGACTACCGCAAAGGCAGATGAACGGGACTTGCTTTTGAGAGAAAAATCCTTCGCCGACAGACAATGGTGAAGGCGTAGAAATAGAGAAATCTATTCCCTCTATAAGGAGCGTGATGTAATTGCAATTATCAAGGTAGGAATTAAGATGGGCGGGACACCTCGCACGGATGCCAGAGCAATCAACCCCGAAGAAAATAATAACAGAGCAGCAGTTCGGCAGGCGCAGAGTTGGGAGACTCAGGCTGCAGTGGTCGGACTGTGTCGCAGGTGACTTAAGGTCCTTTGGAGTGAGAAATTGGATGGCAGCAGCACAAAAAAGGAAAGTATGGTGATTGCTGTTGGAGGAAGATAAGACCCTTTGTAAAGCTGAATTAATTTTTCATATTTGGTGCATAGTGAACTCAATAAATTTTTATTTCATACTAACTTTAGTCCTCTGTGATATTCTCATATTATTAAAAATTATCACTTATCGACAAATGTTTGTAATTAATATGACTAATCTTAATACTCATCAATAAATGCAATTCAAATAAACTTTATTAAGAAAAAAAATGTTATTTACAAATGTTAAAAAAATGTTACTACAAAACTTATGCACAAAATGTCTGCAAATTTGGAAGTTTAACACAGATCAGCTAGAGCAGCCACAATAGTTTTCTGAAACGCAACGAATGATATTAATTACAACCATTTAATTGAGTATTAACCGAAAATCTCAATAAAAGTTAAAATCTACATAAATTATAATTCTTATATGAATAACAAATCATTCAATAAGTCTCCGATCTAACTAAGAAAAACTATTTTTTAAAAATGTAATGTTCACTATTGATAGTTTTGCCTTTTTCAAATTATTCGATGAGCGAAATTCCATGTACGTCTCAAAATATGGATGCCAGCCGACTTTTGAGTTTTTGGTCGCTTTGGACGACTTTCAGCAGCTGCTGTCAAAGATATTTTAATATTTTAAGAGATATTTTAATCCATATGCAAAAGCAATTAGATGAATCTACTCCAGCCGACTTTACCCAAGCGTTACGCATCGGAAATCTGACTGCTCAATCCAATTTGTCCAAAATCCAATCCAAAAGTGCAAAATGCGCCTAATGAAGTTTTCATTTAAAAAAATTAAAATAATATAAACTAAAACTAAATCACAAACAAGGCATTCAAAAATATATAATTTAAGTAAAATTTGGTTAGAATAGCAACCTTCACTTTAGCTTCACTTGTAATATAATTTCCAGTTTTATTAAAATTAAACTATCTACAAGTGAAGATTGGTTGGAGTGTTCAGTCAAAAAAATTTAAATATAAATAAATTATATTTATTTCTTTGCCTACATTTCCGGAGTAAGTTCAGACCTTCATTATGGCTAAGAAAGAAACAGATAACAATGGGTATAAGAAACTATTAACATTAAAAAGAAAATAATAATATGTAGGCGAAAGATATAGTCTAAAAATATTTAGATAGAAAAGTTATATCCAGTCCTGTCATAAATATTGTTACAAGGAAATAAATAAAGATTTCGACAGAAAAATTAATTTTTTCAAAAACTTTATTAGAAAATAAAATGTATATCTATAGAGAGTAAAACAAAAAAGAAATAACTCAATATGTTTAAGGCGATCATAGCCATTCGGTTTTTCTTATCACCCCACTCCATGTTAACCGAGCGAAAGAAACATACAAACTAATTGGGATTATTATCCTGACATGTAAAGAAAATAACCTGGTAGAGGTAAGGATTATCTGAATAATACCCAAGAATGTAAACAAAGTTCAACTTTTGTAACAGTATTTATGGCAGAACCAGGTATATAATTTATTTTTATATTTATTTATTTCATAGTTCTCTGGTTACTGTAATTATTTGATTCATAAGTTTTTAATTTTGTTACTGTTATGTTATATAACCTAACTTTGCTTCCACTACTTTCTATTCTAACTTTTTTATTGTTATTTTATATTCCCTTAAAGTTTATTCTACCTACATGTTTTTAGACTATACCTTTCACCTACATATTATTATTTTTTTTTTAATGTTTACAGTTTCTCATACCCATTGTTATCTGTTTTTTTTTCATAACCCAAAACTTTGGGCCGAAACATAGGCAAAAAAAAAATTTAATTTATTTATTTTAAAATTTTTTTGACTGATCAAACCAACCAACCTTCTCTTCAATTATTCACTACAGTCAACGATTAATCTACAATTAAACTATTTACAGAATGAAGTAACCATTTTATTTTGAAACATTTCCCCAATTCATTAAATTATTTTAAATCCTTAATATAAAACTATAAATACAATATATTTATTAAGATTATTCATTTCTTATTAGACCTGATTAACGTAATTCGAATTATGAATTTGGCAATATTAAAATATATTATTCCAATATTCTTAAAATATAACATTTAAAACTAAAATCAAATAATGACTTTTTTTTACAATTCGGCAACTTACTGGTAAAATAAGAATGACTCCAGTTGGCGCAAGATTCAAAGATAACAAAGTACTCTCATTGTCATCATGTGTGAATTCCCTCCGCGGAAATGTTGTTGCTAGTCTGTACTCGCTATATATAAAAAAAAAAACCCAAAAATAAAATGTAATTTATATTTAAAAATAAAGACTCATAATTTAAATAATAATTTCTTAGACTATCATCCATATTCCTATCTACTTTAGTAGTGCTTCAAATCATTGTGATTGTAACAATTAAAAAAATATTATGCATTTTAATTAGTAATATTTCAATTCAATCCATTGTGGATAAGTGCTTGTCATTCAGGAATTTCTATAATTAATATCTTACTGCAAATTTATAGCAGTTGATACATTTTATCATCGGGTTGAACTATCAAAGAATAGAAAAGTTGATTGATTTTGCTATAAATTATTTCACTTTGTTTTAGTTTATTTGTATTTTTTTTTTAAAACAGTTTTAATAACATGAAAAAGTAAATTACATAAAAATGTAACAATATAATTACAATTATGAATACTTTTTTAGGGAATGATGGAGACTTTTCATAACATTCTTTATATTTTTCATTTTTTATAATGTAAAAATTTTAAATCTCTTCATCCTCATCATATCGGGAAAGAATTTTGATGATAACAATCATCTTGTTATGTTTTATTTCCTTCTTCTTTTTTTTTTTTTCATCAAACCGCAAAAAATTAAATGAAATTTTTTTTTTAATTTAATCAAAATTATAGCAAATTTGATATGATAAGGACATACTTTCAACCACTTTACTGCTTTGGGAGTGATCAGAGAGGAGCAGTAAAAATATGACCTAGACTGCCAAGTAATGACAATGAAATATGCTTCTTCCTGTACCACTAAAGCAGTGCTCAACTGCTAGAAGCAAAATAGTACATTTGATTGGTCACAGGCTTAAATGAAAAGCTAATTTGAATATGTTTGTTCTTGAATTTTTATCACCTACTTAGCTAATGTAACGTACATAGCAATATTTACATTTGTATGTCAGTAATAATACATTTACATGAATATGTATTGAGTTGGCAAATAGGTCCTTTCGGTTTTTCAGTTTATTTTTATGCCACTATGATACACTTCTTATCTGATGAATTAATCCTTAAGGTGGATTGTTTATACTGTTTGTAATATGTCAATAACCATATCTGTTAACTCTTGTTGAAACTAGCTTATTATTCTGTTTGCTATTGTACTGTGAATATGGAAGAAAATATCATTCATTATCGGCATATTTTGTTGTATTATTTTTAAAAAAATAAGCATGCTGCAGAAGCTCATAGAAAAATTTGCAGTGTTTATAGGGATGATGCCTTAACTGAACGCACATGTCAAAATTTGTTTGTAAAATTTCATTCAGGAAATTTTGACATCAATGATGCTCAACGGTCTGGTTGCTCACATGAAATTGAAACAAGCAATCTTAGAGCCATTATTGATTAAAATCACACTCAGTGCGAGAGATTGCTATGGCCCTAAATGTGTCACACACAAGTATAGAAAACCATTTGCACAAGCTCAGCTATGTTTCCAGGCTTAATGTTTGGGTCCCTCACTCTCTAACCGAGGTCAACTTGGCAACACACATTTCTGATTGTGATTCACTACGGAAACGGCAACTAAACAACCCATTTTTGAAAAGGTTGGTAATGGGAGTTGAAAAATGGATATTTTACAATAATGTAGTCCTTAGAAAATCTTGGGGACCTAGTAGTGAGGCTCCTAGAAGAATGGCTAAACCCGGATTACATCCAAAGAAGATAATGCTTTCCATATGGTGGGATTTCAAGGGTGTTATTTTCTATGAGCTATTGCCATCAGGACAAACAATTTATTCAACTCTATACTACTAATTGAGTACACAATTAGCAAAATTGGATCAATCACTTAAAAATAAACACCCAGAACTGGCAAATCGGAAGGGTGTTATGTTCCACCAAGGCAACGCTAGGCCCCACACCTCATTGGTCACTCGCAATAAATTATTGAGCCTTAGATGGGACCTTTTGCCCTACCCTCCCTATTTACCAGACCTAGCTCCAAGTGACTACCACTTATTCCAATCTCTGAAGAACTCCATGAATGGAAAGAAATTCCATAAGGAAGAGGAAATCAAAACGACTTGGTTCAGTTTTTTAACAATAAACTCCAGACATTCTATGAACATGGTATAATGCAGTTAGTGGAAAGATGGGAAAAAGTCATATTAAATAATGATCAATATATTATATTGTATATGGTACACCGAGTTGAAGTGGCTTTATCCTACTTCCCGACGACAATTCCTCCTTGGTGTTTTGCTTTTCCAAGTCTTCAGAACCAAAAACCCTCCCTACATCCTGGAACTCCTTACTCTGCGCTCCTCTATCCACTCTCTCAATACTAGGTCTCAACCTATAAACTTATATATTCCCTCCCATAAAACTTCTTCCTTCAGGAAATCCTTCGTCATTCGTGCGGCTTCCTTATGGAACTCACTTCCTACCCCCATGCGTCAATCCTCATCCACAAATTCCTTCAAACAACTCCTGTTCCAACACCTACTCCACATTCAAACTTCCCCTAACATGTAAAATTACTTGCATCTATACAATGTTTAATTTCAATCCATTGCACAATTGAAATAACAATTAACAATAAATTAGTTGGTATTTTTATTATGTCAGACTAAGATACATAAATTTGTAACTCTGTTATTATTGTTAGGGGACAGTAGTCCCAGAATAAAATTATTTTTTCATTTCATTTTCATTTCATTTCATTCATTTATATTGGAGATTAAAATAAATTTTATGTCTATAATACATTGAGTTTTATTTCAGCCTGAAAAAACGAAAAGGACTTATTTGCCTACCCAATATTAAGAGCCACATGATAATATTGCTCTGTAAACAGATATAAAATTGGATATAGATAATTAACAAACTTTTTTATATTAATTTACTGGTAAAATATAAAATAACTTACCTAAAAGATAATTCAATGTTATTATTGATAAAATCCCTGACTTGTAGGAGTGTGGTATTTGGTGGAAATGAATGAGTTTTAGCTTCTCCAGTCGGCAATTTGAATTGAATCCGTGTAGTATTCCTGAAAAGTAAAAATTAAATAATGATTAAGAACAGAAAAGAAAACAAATAGTACAGTTGTCAGGCAACTGTGTTGACAAGTGTTGACCCACACAGCCATACCCCCAACTTATTCTGGGACAAGTCCATTCTCCATTTGGATTTTGAATCAGCAGCATTGTAAAGGGCATTTTGGAAGTGGATTGATTTAGCAAGACGGACTGCGGATTGAGTTGCATCACTTAATCTTAAACTGAGAACTCAAATAATGTTGAGGTAGGGAAAAGGATGAACACAAAGTTAATTACTCACACATTTACAGGTCTCTCAACTGCGGGTGCAGAAGCAGCAGCTGATTGGTTGGTTTGATTTGAAGTATTTGCGATTCCACCTTTCAACTTCTGCTCCCTCTCTAATCTTTCAGCTCTAAAAAAACAAAACAATAAGGATGGATTAGTAAATAACGGTTTTATTATTTATTATCAGAATATTTTATTAGTGTTTCATTACGATAATAAGCAAAATATATATAAGTATAAGCAAAACATATATAAGTAAGTGGAAGTAAAAACGGAGTGTAATGCATCACACAACTTTCAATTAATAGTCTAATTTAAGTAGAAATAAATTTGTTAATAAAAAGTTTTTTTTGTTTTTTTTCTTATGCCTGTTGACTTCGACTTTTTCGTCATGAATCTGTTGATAAAAAGTTAATAAACCTATTAACAATTTTCCAGAATATGTGAAAAACTATACTTTATATTACAAATGCAATATCAAAAACAATTTTTATAAAAAATAAACTAAGACATTCTTTATTTATAGAACATATTTCTGAAAATCACTGATTAATTCGATAGTAACAAAAAAATCTGGTGTTTCCACTAACACGACTTTCCTGCCAATTTCAGAAAAGTTTTTATATCTTTAAGTATGTCATTTAAAAAACAAAACCATTTAATTAGATTTTTTCCTGAAAATTCATCAAAGAAAAAATTTGAGTATGATTTCTTTGATAAACTAAAGCAATGTAAACTGGCTTATGGAAGATCAGCATGAAAAATTCAATACACTCTAACATTGCTAATCAAAAACTTGTTTGCAATAATTCAATTTTGTCATACAATAATTTCTGTCAAAGTAGAGAGGAAAGTGAAACTTGTATGATGCTGGGATTTGAACTCATAATATTATATACAAAATTAAAATAGCTGTAACTTTTTTTATAGTAGTCTGAAATGAACACAATTTTTATATAGTTTTTTAGGGAATTTCATTAATTATGTTTCAAAAAGACAGCTTTTTGGAGGGAATTAAGAATGCATATCAAAAAAAGAAACAACAAAATTGGTCTGATAGTTCCCGAGATAAACTTGGCACGGACAGACATTCCAATGGCTGAAAATGTGTTTTATGGACTCAGGGGGCTGTGAAACATAAAGATCTGTTGAAAACAGAACATCTGAAATTTGACCTAATCGCAATACTTTTCTTACCTAGTATAGTAGAGATAGGATTCTAAACTCAAATAGGGTTCCGATTTAGGGTGGCCAAAATGCTACAAAACAAAAAAAAAAAAATCAGTCAAGCCATGCAAGAGATAATTGTGGCATGGAGGCACACACAAAATAATGCCAACAAATACTTTTTGAGGCTCTAAGACTCTGCAATGTAAAGATCTATTAAATGAAAACTGAACATTGAAAGTTTAATCTGATTTCCTTAATCTGGCTTACTTAGTAGCGGTGGAAAAGTAAAAAGAATACCTAAATAGTATTTTTTGTTCTATTTTTTTTTTCCCATTTTATATGTTAAGTTGAAGGAGGGTTACAACTATGAATTTACAGGACAGAAAAAGTGTAAAAAACAGCAAAATCATTCACAGCACTAACTTTAAGGTTTCTAACAAAGGAGAAAGAAATATATCAACATTAAATTATTATGTAGTTATACAAGGTGTAACTACAAAAAAAAAGAAAAGAAAGGTAAATAAAAATGTCACTGTTAAATAGAAGAAAGAACTTCATAATGAATAACAACAATATTTAAAAAAAAAATAGAAATTTTAAGTGATAAAGAAACTGTTCAAAGCACTGATCTCGATGGAGACATAAATATGAATGTTATGTGACATCAGTTTCAGTTTGTTGTCTATTTATAGTAGGTAATTCTCGGACCATCATGACAGGAAAAAAGTACTAGGTACTCACATATAGTAACAGGTACCTAACATTTCGTTACTCACCGCCTTCAATATCTCTTATAGATTACATTAGTTTATCCAAATTGTGTATACCATTGGAAAGCTGATGAAATGAAGTAACTTATATATTTTAATTAAATATAAAGATTCTAACTGTACTTACCTGTCCTGAGCTATCTGTTCTAGTATTCTCTGCTTGGCTGCAGCACTTTCCCTCTTCTCTCTTTCCCTTTCTTCGATCATTTCTTGTAATTCTTTGTCCTGCTGTTTCTTCTTCATTTTCAGCACTTCTTGCCCCATTCGTCTCCTTTCAAACTCCTTCTGTTTCTCATCCTGAAGATATCAACTTCATTTAATAACTTACCTTCACCACTTTAATAAAACAATAAAAACATTGAAACAAGAGAGTACCTGTAAAAGAGAGAGTATAGTTGAAAATTTACTCCCTTAGCAGCTAAAATTAATTAACCCATAGTTGAAACTGAATGAATCACAAAATCCTTGGATACACAGATGATATAGCTGTCCATGGAAGTAATCGAGAAACTATCTAAGACTCTAAGAGAAACAGATCAAATCGGCCTACGAGTAAACGAAGACAAAACAAATATATGTAAACCTAAAATTTCATCCCAATAACAGGATCTGCGAAGAAGAGAAAGTGTTCTCGAGAATACAAAAATACCTCGGCTCCACTATAACCTCAATGAATGACCAGCAGTTGAAAATGGAACAACATATAACAAGCCCAAACAGATCTTTCATCTACCTGTGATATATCGATTATACCAATCAGTGATTCAGTTGTATTAACCTAACAGTGTTATTTTTTATGATTAATAAAAGAATTGTGATTACTAATAGTTTAGTTTTGTGTTTAATATTCTAATACTTAACATTTGGCGATGAGGATAAAAGTAATGAAGAAAGGTACTTCATGGGTGTACGAATTAAAGAAACAAGACTTGATTTCAAAACTAAAAGAATTAGGTTTGGTTTTTGATGAGGCTGATTCTGTAGATAGGTTAAGACAAATTTTAGTGCAGGAATTGAGAAGTGAAAATAAGAGAAGAGGCTATTTCTGTAAATCAACAAGAGAGCAACCAAAGAATCTGTCATGGAAGTGGGTGCCCTCCTTGAGAGCTGCAGAAGACTCAGTTATTTGTGTTAGTTAATTTATGTCCTTAGTTTTATACAAGAATTAAATGTATTTTTGATAATTTTTTTTTCCATGTTTTAAATATGTTGTTATTTTTATAACCATGATACACTTTCTTTGGAAAGGGGGAAATTGTGATATATATCGATTATACGAATCAGTGATTCAGTTGTATTAACCTAACAGTGTTATCTTTTATGATGAATAAAAGAATTGTGATTACTAATAGTGTAGTTTTGTGTTTTAATATTCAAATACTTAACACTACCTATCAAAGTTATTGAAATACCGAAAAATGATAAGAAATCTCAAATTAAGGGTGCTATGATAAATACAGTTCTAATATATGGCTGTGAGACCTCGACACTAACTAGTGCCCTAGAAAACATTATTAAAAGATTTGAGAGAAAAATCCTTCGCACGATAACTGGAACGATCTGAGATCAGAGTACTAACACATTGAGAAGATACAGAAACTGGTCAATCAATATCTCATGGTATGAAGGAACAGAACTTAAGATGAGCAGGGCAAGTAGCTCGTAGCAATTCATCTGGAAGCCTCTATCTCATAATTAATGCCTCAATAGAAGGCAAAAGGCCAAAAAGAAAATGGATAGATAGAATCGACAAAGATGCAATAGAGCTGCAGATAACTGGAAAGAAATAGCTCAAAATAGGCAGAATGTTGGCTTGTTAAGGCAACAAAAGATCTACAATGTCTGTAATGATGAAAGAAAAGAAAAAAAAAAAATTTAAATTGAACAAAGATGTAAGAGTTGAGAACTCACTGCAATTTGGATGGGAATTTAAAGTAAATTTCCAATTTTTACCGAACATACAAAATCCCTGATTCCTCCGTCCATTTCCTGATCAGTAGGCCTTCTGAAAAATAAAACTTAGATTTTTTCCTAGCACTAATTAATTTAATGACTTACCTCTATCTCTTTAGCTTCTTTTTCCTGTTTCTTTATTTCTAACAGTTTTTTGGCTTTTTCCACTCTTTCTTCTAATGATGGTTTAGATTCAACTAATAGAAAAACAGAAAAAAAAAATTAGATTGTTGGGTTTGAATAACACCAGTGTAGTAGTTAAAGAAAAAAAATGTCATACGAATAATAAGTATTATCTAACTGAATTTAAATAAATACTCCCTACACTATTTGAAAAAATAAAAAGGTGCAAACAGCAGAGCTCCATTACTAAGGTTCTATTTTCCACTTATTTTTAATTTTTATTTTGACTGATTCCCCTAACTATCCTTCTCTTCAATTATTCACTACAGTCAACCATCAACCCACAATTGTTTTTAATTTTTAAAAAATAGAAAGGGATTTAATTGTTTCATTAGCGATAAATAGAAAAATAAAAGCTTTGTAAATTATTACCCAAAGGTTTATTATATTCAAATAGTTATAAGCTCAATATGTATAGCGAACAACTTTAACTATCATATTGGAAAATAGGTGATAAATATTCAGGGCGCAGTCTTTTTTAAAATTTTTTATTTTTGCCAACGTTTCAACCCAAACATGTGGGTCATCTTCAGGGCTCTGTTTTAGTGTTTGAAGTATCTGGAGAGAGAATAGACAATCCCATTGCACAACACACATCAAGAAAAATAGGTCATCTTGGCCCATCTCAAGCTCTACACCGCTCGCACTCCGCTAATTCGCCATCTTCTAAAATTCATTCTATTCTCCCTCCAGATACTTCAAACACCAAAACGGGGCCCTGAAGATGACCCACATGTTTGGGTTGAAACGTTGGCAAAAATAAAAATTTTTAAAAAATACTGCGTCCTGAATACTTATCACCCATGATATGTAGAACAGTCGACTAACTTCCTTCAAAATATTGGAAAATATTTATACACAAAGATTAGGACGTTTAAAAATATTTATTTATTAGTATATCTTTTTAATAAGCTGCATATATAATTATAAAAATTGTTATACTAGAATTAGGACTCTACAGGTAGGTTTGCAATATAAAACAAAAAAACCGATGAACCGATTTTTATGAAAAATGGCCTAAGTCTTCTCTTTGAAGAACTTTAAATTTATGTCTATAATAAACTTCACCTAAAAGAAGCCGGAAAAAATAATTATGATGTTAACATTGGGTGTCCAAAATATGAACTTTTTTGTTAATATTGTATATGGTCGTCAATTCAAAGTTAAGTACAAAACCCTACTCCTTTAAATTACCTAAAAGATCATTAAAACTGGACGATTTGGTAAAAAGATATGTTATTCCAAATATTCGAAAGCTGACCATTGTTTTGTCTTAAAGAAAGTGTATAACGGATCTTAGTTAATATTGGACGGATTTCGATAAAAGTTTTTTTTTTATCATTTAGGAAATTTAAATGTCTTTAAAATATGTTCTAACCCAAAAGGGGGGAAAAGTGCACTCTTTTCGAGTTATTCGCAAATGTTATTTTGAATTCATCAAACCTCCTTTTCGGGTCCTTTTTCGAGGAAGGATGATATATACATAAATTCATAGTGTTTTATAGGGAACACTTTAGGAAAGCTTTTATTAATACCATCAGCTGTTTTAGTGCTGTAGACTATAGGGAAACAGGTTTTTCCACCACTATCTAGAAACAAAATGGTGACTGGTGTTGAGACTCCTCAAAGGCACCTCTCCAACACCAACTTAACATAGATACAAAATTTCAATCTTCAAGCTTTGTTAAGAGGAGCTGTGGAGATGTGTACTACTTTAAAAACAGGGAAAACATGTTCTTATATGTGGAAAATTTGATGAAATTTTTGTGAAGTTTAATAATATTGTTCCGTCTGGGAATCAACTCTATATACTGAATTTCAGGTCATTCAGTCAAATAGCGGTCACTGGGGACGGCGGAACATAGCTAGAAAAAAAATATATATATAACTGACATCTCAAAAAATGGTAGAATCGTGATGTAGGACTTCCAAAATGGATAGAAACCGCAACCCCACCTTCCACTGAGGACTTTCGATACAGAGCAAATATTTCTGAAGGAAAATAAACAATAATCAAGACCAAAAAACAAAATCAGAGGTCCTTTATTTTAGAGGAAGACATTTTTCTTAATTCCCCATTTAAGGCTGCATTAGTTAGGATAAAACCCACCTTAAATTAAAAATCATTTAATAATACATTGCCCTAATAAGTTTAATCAAAATCATTACAAGCCGTTTCTGAGAAAATTGTAAAAATGTGAAAAACCAATGATATGAAGCGATACTTCTGGTTAGCCAATTTTAAAATAAAAAGTTGCTAAAACATGCCATAGTTCGGGATCGCAAGTAAAAAATGTGAATTATTTCATACTAAGGTTTAGCCTGTCACAGGCAGGACAAGCAACATCTCCACAGGCCTAATGAGAAAAATGCATGTCTGGCAGCATATAGCCATTGGAATACAAAATGGTGGCCAGAGGAATATAGATAGAGAACTTAAAACAGAGAGAGCCTACAGTCAAAGAAAACTACCAAAATTAAATTTGAAAATTTTTGACAAATTGGAGACTTCTTCGGGTTATTCCTGAGTTGTAATAAACATTACATTTTGTTCAACACATCATGATGCAATGTTCTAATTACATTCCATAAAAAAAATGTTGTGAAATGACAAGTTACAAGTCCTCCTAATCTTCTGAAATCATGAAAAATTTTATTTCTCAAAACATCTGAACACTACATCGGAGTGTTACTACCAAAGTTTGGATTATTTCTGCATTTCTCAGAATGGCACGTACAGTGTGATCGATGTGATCTTGTGCCCAGAAGCCACTTTAATGAAATAGTACTTTAGAACCAGTGCTAAATAACTAATAAACATGAAATACCTTCTTCCTTTTTGTCCTTAGCCTCCACTTCAGTCACATTATCAGTCGTTACAAGCTGCTCAGAAGCTTGACTCGTGCTAGGTCCAAGAATATCTGTTGCAACAGGTGATGCCACTGTTGCTTCAGGCCTAGGAGTATCTGTTGCAACTGGTGATGACACTATAAATTTAAAAATTAGGAATATAGTTCCAGAAAATAAATATTACTATTACTGTAATCAGAATAATACTTACTGGCTGTGTTGCTAGTTGTTTTACCAGGTTTGATATTGCATTTTCCTATGGCTTCTTTAATTTTTGTTTCTAAACTTAAGCGAGAAGAATTGGCGGCAACAATGTCAATCGGAGCACCAGAATTTCCTATAAAGAAAAGTGATGGCACAGGCACCAGTTTGTCTAAAAATAAATAAATAAATAAGACAAAAAAGGCACGCATCAATAATTCGAAGAAAAACGAATTTAGTAATATCCTTACATATTTCAACAAACTGTCGGTAACCAACATCATTAGAAGATAACTTAATGATTACAAATTGATCACTGCTCAATTCAGAACAAATTTCGCCTGCGTCCAATACTTCTGACATCAATTTTGAATTCTCATCATCGCCTACCAAAAATGATGACAAATGATTTTTATCCCTCTTATCAGGTCAGATGAATAAATTGATAAAACTACATAAATAAATACATACCCTCTGTGTAGACGACAAAAATAGCTTGTCGACTTTTAGCTGTTTTAATCGCATCAGCTATTGTACCGTTAAACCATTTCATGTTTATATAAATTCGATTAACACACAATAAGGTAAACAAAAATAATTACAAATAATAATCTTGAAGGTTACAGAATGTTACCTGACAGATTGTCCAAAGCAGTTTAGATCTCTATGGCGAATACATAATTCTTGTTTAAAACATTTTGGATTTTTTTTTTTTTTTATTTTAATTTTTCCCATGATCATTTAATACATGTCAGGTATATATTATAAGAATAAACCGGACATTTATAGGTTATTTCAAGCCATATGGCAATTATCTATACGAACATGTAAATATTCTGGAGGATTCTTTGAAGGTGAATACTTTATTTCAATCTTAGGGACGCGTTATTAACTTTATTAAAATGAAAAAGTTTCTAAATTCATCGCTGGTATCCTTTTGTCCATTTTAGGGAAAGATGGAAAGAAACGACATTGCTGGCCTTAGGGCAATTGTCCCTGAACGCCGACTTAGAGGGGCGCCCGATGGGGGCGTAGATCGATCTTTAGGGGCGCCACTTATAAGAAATGAAAAAATACCACTAAACGTATTAAAATAGTTAACTTTAGCCTACTAATAAAGTGGCTGTATTAGAAAAATGTTGACTGCAATAAAATTCCAGTATCACATAATATTAAACAGCTTGAGAAATAAATTTAAGGTGAGGAGAGATGGCGTCATTGCCCGGAGACTCCTAATGTCTAAGGCTGGCACTGGGATAATATGTCATCTATGAGCACAACTTCGTGTATAGGAATTTGCCTGACCACTTTTCCAAAGTAATCATTATTTTCACACTAACTAGTAAAGAATGGAGTATATTTATGTTGGGTACTACAGTAACGAATTTCATGTTATTTCGTTCTGATCTTAATATTAATTGGCCTGTGAGAATTACAATTACTAAGCCAAGCGTGGACTCATCTAAACCGGCTATCAAACAATAGTTATGCGGCTTAGGTATATTAATGACCCCACGTTAATGCGCATTGAATATTGGCCAGTGGACAAATGGCAATATAACATAGAAATATAAACTGAAATATTATAAAGATGAAGTTTTATCAAAGATATGGTGGAGCGAAAGAAAAACATCTTTAAGAAATAATATATGCATGAAGATAGAAATTCTTAGATTGCATTATATTACATATATACAACAATTTTATAATTGTAATATAGTAAGATTTGTGTCATGTCTCTCACCACTACACTGAGTTTAAGTGGCTCTACTACTCCATTCAAAGACAAATCATCAACAATCGTCCTCCTTCTTACGCCTGCAACCTTATCCAATTCAAGTCCTCCGTCCATTCCCTTTCCCTAAGATCTCGATCTTTCGGCCATTACATCTCTTTTCACAGATCTGCCTCATTCCAAAACTTCTTTATTGCTCGCTCTGTTAATATCTGGAATTCTCTTCCTATCAATATTCGGCACCCCCCCTATCTACATTTAAAACCCTCTTTTTCCAATCTCTGTCCCAAAAACCAACTGCACAGAAAACACGATATGTCCTAGCAATACTATATATTGTGGGCGCGACCTAGTTTTGTTACATTCTACTCTACTACCATAGTGACTAAGAAAGCAATCTTCTACAGCAATGCAGTCAAAGAGATCAATGAACGCGAGGGTAAATTGCGTTATGTGTGTACGAACGGGACGTTTTCATACAATCTGTCTTTTTATATCCTTCCTAGCCTTTTCGGCTATAAGATGTTTTTACCGGGCCAGAGGAGAAAATGGAGGATTTTGTTGAGGATTGAGTTAAAAGTTCCACTGTATCGGAGTCAGAACTCTTTATCTTTGGTTTATCAGGTTAGAACCTTAGAGGGTTAGGCGGATTTTCAAACACGCGTTAGCCGGCTCGACCATTCCTCCCCACCTTTTCATACAATCAGTCGAAAACGGCTTTGATAATTGTAGGACCGTGTGAAAGATACATAGACCTTCTGTGCAAATTAAAAATTCAATATTATTCGGACTGTTAAAACATCCAAAGGTACATTAAGTATGCTGATTGAGAAGATAATTGCTTGTAAAGATATCAATTTTTGGGAATCAAAAATATGATTTTTAAGAATATGCTTGTAATTTATTTTTTTTTTCAATTAAGAATTTTTCTACCACTCAGTTTTCCTTGGCTTTAATATCTTTCAAGATATGTTTTACATTAATCTTTATCAGAAGCTTTCTCTTCTCTGATGCCATTTCATGCCAGGTTGTCTTGCACATGTTTCTTTCCATTTTCTCTTTTGTAATCTTATTTTCCTTCAACTATATATATATTACGGTCATTTCGTTATGTTAAAAGAATGTCTTTAGAAAGATTTCCAATGATTAGTATGGAATTAGAAGTTGAAGGAAAATAAGATTACAAAAGAGAAAATGGAAAGAAACATGTGCAAGACAACCTGACAATTATGTGCAATACAATTATATATATATGGTGAAGGAATCTGTGGCACTCAAGATGTAATTACAGGAGGACGCCAAATGTCTAAAACCTGCACTGCTTTAATTACTAAACTGTTATGAACGAATGTTATGCAACTTGAAGTGTCAGACCTGAATCAAAGTTTCCTGAAATGGTTGTGAAAAAATCTACTGTTAGATAGACAAAATTGATATCATGTTTTCTTTGAGTGATACTATTGCATTGCAGATGAATGAAACTACAAATCTCTACAATTAAACTTTAAAGTTGATTTCAAACATAATGAGACAGACACAGCATTAAATGAAGTAAATGGTAGTTTCCCAAAAAATGTGGTCGACTGAATTTAAACTGATGATCCTCCATCAGGACAATACCCATGCTCACCTTGTCATGTGGAAGTAGTTTTTTGTCTCTAAATTCTGATTTGATATCGTTTTCCAAAGATGGAGGTTTTAGTAATGGGAATTCGGGTAACTTGGAGACTATTAAAATGTTAATCAGAAGGCCATCAAGGAACTTCTAAAGAAAGGACTTCCGAGGAGTCTCTCAGAAGTAAAAAAAAAAAAATAGATGGCACAGCTGTATTGAGCCTAGAGGTAGGATGACTGAGGGAACTAACCCATGTGTGCAGCACCACCAGGTCTTTTAACTCTGGTATTAATCCACTGTCTTCACCCCTTGGTCTGGGAAAACCCCATGTAACCTAAAAAAAGAAGGAAAGGAAGAACAAACAAAATAAATTGTGGATTGATGGTTGACTGTAGTGAATAATTGAAGAGAAGAATGGTAGGGATGATCAGTCAAAATAAAAAATAGTAAAAATAGATAATTATATTTGCCAACATTTCGGCCCGAAGTTCAGGCCTTCATCAGGGCTAAGAAAAAAAAAATAAAAAATAACAATAGGTATGAGAAACTATAAACATTGAATAATAAAGAATTAAAATTAAAAGGGTGAAAGATATAGACTAAAAAATGTAGGTAGAATGAACTTAAAGTAAAATAAAGTAGATAAAATGAACATTAAAGCAAAATAAAATAGGTAAAATAATGACTGTAACAAAAGACTAAGAAATCAATATTAATAACGGAAAAAAAGTATGGACTAATGAAATAAACTTTTATAAATTATTTTGATTATGTTTATTTCATTAATTAACTTCATTAAACTTTGCTGCCGTTATTATTATTTATTTCTTAATTCTCTGTTATTGTTATTCTACCTACCTACCTATCTACCCCGTGGCACTACGGTCTTACTAGGGCCAGGACATCCTCCACTATTTTTTACCCCTGCTATTCAGTGCCTTTCTTCCCCATTGTCTTATTCCTAGGCTACGGAGGACCTGTTATAAGTCATCTAGCCATATTTTATTATTCTATCTACTTTATTTTACTTTAAGTTCATTCTACCTACATTTTTTAGTCTATACCTTTCACCCTTTAATATTTTATTTTTTCATTATTTAATGTTTATAGTTTCTCATACCTATTGTTATCTGGTTTTTTCTTAGCCCTGAACTTCGGGCCAAAACGTTGCCAAATATAAAAATAAATATAATTATTTATTTTGACTGGTCACCCTAACCATTCTTCTCTTTAAAAAAAGTGTACTGAGCCTTAGGTAGAATATTTTGAATAATCAAATTTAAAAAAGGTATTTTAAATTTTAAACGAATTTTTTGGGGAACCTAGTATAATACTTTTTTCATAAAAGTATAAATTTTCATATTTATAAATATTGTTCATGGTCTGTTTGTCAAGGAAAACCTTTTTTGGTTATACCTTTTCTGTATTTTAAATATCATGTTTTGAAAAATTCCAGGTTTTTATAAGAGTTAAAAAGATCGTGATATATATAATTGAATTATTAATTCTACAAGAGGCAGATACAGGATTAAATTTTAGAGGGTTTTTGATAGTAATTACTACACTAACACTCTGTAATAAGCTTGACTGTCATAAGTTCACTTGTTTATTTGTTACTATTAAGTGAACTTATTTCAACCAATAAGTTCCTTTTGATAAAACATGTCAAGTCACCACTTCATAATCTAGTCATAGATGAAGGACTAGCCAAAATAATTGAAATAAAAAATAAACATATTTCTGATTATAAAATTTAATAGCCAAACAGAAACAAATCTTAACAATGTATATAGAAATAACATTACAATAAGTAACAAAGTTTATATTCTAAATAAAGATCTGAAACATGTAAGTAACCAAATAATAATGAATACTAAAGAATCTTTGACTAAAGGTCGTTGATAACTTAAAGACTTACTGTGATCAAGTTTGTAGCTAATAATAATAGAAAATAAACATAATTAATCAATAAGTTTAATGATTATACATGAAAAGGTAACAAAAAAGTAAATGGTTAACCATAACAAATTTATTTTTATACATTTTAGAACAAATATTTGATTGCATTTTTAAGTAATAATATAAATACTGATTGCATTAGATATCATTATAACATACACTTTGAACGTTTTATTAACAACGTATAGCAAACACACCAAGCAACATTTATATTTATATTGTTTTGTACTGAGATTTTTCAAATGACTAATTCAATAAAAAAAAAAAATGTTTACATCAGTACGAAAATACTTCTTATAATTTTCATGAAATGAGATTGGGAAATTACACACATTTATAAAAGCATTTTGCAGGTTGCCTTAGTAAAATGATTTCAAATTATCATTTTTAACTATCAATAACAATAAACATGCATTAAACTTAATTTTATTAATCATATCGAATATTATTACATAAAATTCAGTATAATTAATAAATTATATTAAAATTTATAGAATTAAGTTTTTATGTTTTAAAAAAATTATGACTAGCTAATGAATCAAATACTTTTTGGTTTTTGTTCCACTTAACAAAAATATATTAAACAAAATAGCTCATAAAAATATACATATTTTTTTGTACATAATTATTTACAATAAACACATTTAAGTATCGCAAAGCTATTTTAGAACATTGAAAAATTTATCGTACTATCTTCAAGTTCTGAAAATGAACAAGGTATCCAAACAGTCAAGTATAGAAAAAAAAATGACTATGGAAATTAAAATTGCTATGTAATTTACTAAAAATTAAAAAAAAATAAAAAAATATGAAAAGCTACATTACACTAAAAGTATGAACCTTAAAGGAAATAATTCAGCGAATAAAACATATTTTTAAGTCGAATCATATATTAATAAGATGACTTTATGCATCACAATAATTCATGGCATGTGAACAAAATGTCGACCTTGACTCTAATTTATTAAATCTTCATCATAAAGTCAAACGATGCTGTGATTAGCTCTACATACTTGATATTATAGCATTATAATTCCTATTGAATTGCTATATACTTTCGATTCAGAACGTAAAATTATGAAAAATAAACTGTATTTTGAATATATACATAAAAATATGTATTAATGTAAAATGAATATATACTGAAAATATACATAATTTTCTTTAATGTACTTAAATAAAAACATAATTTCGTAATAAGCTCTGGTTTCACGGTTCATTCCAAAAGAACATCTTAACAACTTGACAATTACAAAATTTGTCAATTTCAATACAGAGTCAACCTTCTTTATGGAATAATTTAAATATTAAATAATAATAATTATAATTTCTGAAATGATAAAAATTCAATTCAAATAAAAAAACAAAACAAATACATTTAATAAGTATACATTTATAACATAAAATAATAATAATATTTTGGTAAACAAAAGGATGTTGAAGTTAAATAAACAATATTTTAATAACTCAGATCTAATATAATGAATAATAATAAAAGAATTGTAGAGAAATATAAAATATATTAATTCAATATCATAATTATAATTAATAAAGAATTTAACGCGAACTATTAAAAATAATATAAATTCTAAAAAAAAAAAAGTTTGCAGACTTTCATTTTAAAAAATAATGCGAGCTTTAAATAAACTAGCCACTATGAATATTGTAATCCTAGTTTATTAAAAATATTTAAAGTGTTAAAATTAAACTGTTGTGATACATACTCCTTTGCCTAATAAAAGCATATATTATTTCTTCTTCAATTCATTATTAATATGAAATAGGTTTATTGAGAAAATTCCTTAACTAACATTTTAGAAAATTAAAGTTATTTGATAAAGTTTCTGAGTGAAATAAGAATATTATGCACTTAGGATAACTATTTTGGACATATAATAGCGTTTGTGATATTTTAAAACAATGAGTTATTGCATTGATACATAACATCAAAATTCACAAATAAGTATTTACAAGCTCAGCTCCAATAAAATTGTACTTAGTGACTTTTTATGATAACGATATATTAATTTCATAAAGATTCCGTAATATTTAACTCATATCTTAAATAATCTCAAAGTTTTTAATCAAATAAATACTTTTTTTTTATAGTAGGCATAAAAGTGTACATTTTAAAATCACTCATATTTGATTTTTAAATAGTATATTTTTAATTAAATACTTACTGAAATAAAGCATACGCATTTAATATATAAATATTTTTTAAGTAGATACACCTTAAAATAAAAACAAAGCACTTTAGGTACTGTAAGCTATTAAAAACTTTAGGTTTGTCCATAATATATATAAACGACACATAAACATAAATTACTCACTGCTCAATATCACAAAATTCTTTTAAAATATCTAGAAATGCTGTATGACTACTTACAATAAAGATAATTAATAAACAAAACTGATATTAATAGAAATGCATCGATTCTAATAATGCTGCTTGAACCTTTTCCAGTAGAAACTTTCGGAACATTGAGAACGAATACACATAAAGTTTCATCAGTTGTGACATCGTGCGATAGTATTGGGAACATTTGTTTGGTTTGACTGTCGGAACAGACGACTTGGTTCATGCTTTCGATAAGTTCTAATCTCGACTGAATCGATATCGTATTGGCTCCGGAAACTTCATTGAGATGACGTCTCATCCATTGAGCCAACCATTTGGTATTACATCCACAAATTAACGGATTTTTGCCAACATGGATACCTCCTGTAAAATACAAAAAAACTCATCAGCTTCAGAAAAAAAAAATATATATATATGGTTAAACTTCTACAATGGAACTACACTGCAGCTCAGTCAAGAAAGAAATCCTGTGACGTATGGCTGTTATCAACACAGGTCCCTGGGGCCACAACTAGTTAACGAAGGCCGCAGGTTCTCCAACTTCGCTTAACTAAAAGGATATTTTACTGTGGAGCAAGCTTATTACTTTATAAGGAAACTGTTAATTGAAAAAGTCATTATTAAGTGCCTAAAAAGCTTCACGTATTTTCTGAGTTGGAAAAAATTGTTTGATAAAAAAATATTCCTCATACAAATAAAAATGTTTCCTTAATATTGTCTGTACTTTATAAATATGTTAAATTTGATGGTGCTTGTGACTTAGCCGGTCGCCATGCCACCTACCTTCTTATCTCTTGTAACCTCTTATCACTTGTATCTGTTTAGTTGCTTGTGCGTTTTATACAGGTCAACTAAAAAAATTGGAGGGCCTGAAAAAGTGGTTAACAGACGAAAGTTTTTTTTATAAAAGAAAAAAATGATCTAAGGAGAGTGCTCCCTGAACAATTGATGTTTGTCGTGAAACTGAGGAGTGTTTCATTGTAAAAATAAAATACAAAAAAGCAACAACTCTATTAGAACGTATTACAAATAATCTAGAAGAGAGAACCACTATATATACTCTACTATATTATATAAATTAAAACCATTTTCAGGTAAATCACTGGTATAACTTTGTTTATATTTCAAGTGGGGTCCATACTCATAGATATAATACATAGAACGATTATGGGGCTTAGCTAATCGGAGGAATAAAAAACACTGAGGAACTGCGAGGCAACATCTGGATTCATATTTATATGAATTTTTCTAGTAGTGGGTCTGCAGAGAAGAGGACCTGTTCCTCGCTATTTTGTCTCTCAAAATAAATAAAATGATGTAAAATAAAAGTGTTTTGTTAATATAAGATTTCTTTTTGTCTATTTCAATTTCCATAAATATAAATAAGAAGGTAGGTATTATCAGTGTTCAGGATACAAACAAGGGTGGATAGCAGTCAGTGGCGACCAGCTCACAAGTACCATTGTTATTAAGGATAAAAAGGATAGATCTCTAATGTGAGAGTATTCTCACAGTTATACATGTATAAATATAACAGTTTTTTTTGCTGAATATGAATATTTTTTTTCATAAACAGCAGAAATTTACCAAAAATGAAACTTAGTTGGATCCATTTATGTAGTGTCAAAAAATTAACTACCAATTAGGGATCCATTATAGAGAAATTGTACGACAACAAACATTACATAATGTACATATTGTAAAAATAAATAAATTTGACTAACCTGGAAACGCTTTGGAGCCAAATCTCCTTGTTTCACCAATCGTCCTATAAAACAGTTCAGGACCTATATTTGCGAACTGGTTATTAGTCAAGTCTATTGTGAATCTTTTGTTTTCTAGTTTGCTAAAAATGTGTTTTGGTAAATGTGATATACTCGTCCCGGTAATTCTCAACTCGAAGTTTGAGTAATTTGTAAGAACGTTAAGGGAACCGATATCAATGTACTTCAGATTTTTGCCAGAAATTTCTAGCAAACGTAATTTTTTCGGCATCTGTTCTGGCAATTGATTTGTGACTTTTTCATCTGTCATCTGTAAATAAAGCTCTCTCAATTTTCCCAGATTGGACAGAATTCTAGACAGATTGGATCCTACGGACGATTTCATATGTAATTTGATGGAAGTTAGCTGTACCAAGTCGACAAATATGATTGGGTCGATTGTTTCCAAGTTGTTCAAATCTTGCAAATTCAACATCCTCAATGAATACAGACCAAAGAAACACGATTGGTCCAGAACCTAAAACAAATGACAAATTATAAATTTAAGAATAAAAATACTAAAATAACTTTACAAAATACCCTACTTCAATGAATAAAATATTTAGCCAGTAGGTTATAAAAAACAGAAATATATATTTAACTGAGGATAAAAATATGGAGAATAAAAAATAAAATAAAATGATTATATATATTAAATTGATGAAATTATTAAATTACACTATAAAAAAAAGATATTACTTTTCCAGATCTGTTGCTGTCATTCCCTAAAGCTATCAATATGTTGTAAAATATATTGTTAGTCTTGGGAAGCAACGGCAGTATATTTTCTTAATAGTGTAATGTTATATCAATATCAATGTTATATTATTTATTATTAACAAGATTAAACTAAAAAGTGTAGCAGGTGAGGTAACGATAGCTCCCATTTTAATTGGGCATATAATGTGTTCTGTAGCATTAAATATTGTGATACCACTTAATAATTATCCAGAAATATTTATATTATTAGTAAAATAAATAGATATTAAAATTTATGAATCAATTGTGTTTTTGATTTTAATTCAGTACTCACACGAATTTTTAATCACCATTAAAGATAAGGTTATAATAACAAAAAAAGCGAAAAGTCCCAAATTTTTCTGATGCATGTTTGCAAAGCTAATTAGTGTTAAAGAAAAGTATTGGGAACAGAGAGATGTCATGAGAATGGAGACAACACCTCATGACATATCAGTGCCTAGCTCATCACATTGGATATCTTATACTGTTTAGATTAGAAAGCGTGTTTGGAAACCTTATAAAGTGTTTCTGGCTTCATACTTCTACCTGAGAAATATCTCCAATTTTTTTTTTATCACCCTATTGTCTCAAAATAAAAACATTTGGTTTAAAATACATGTTAAAATAGAACATAGAGAATTTGTAGGCTGACTGGCCACCGAAAGCGTAGCAAGGAGGTCGGCAACCGATTGCCATAGCGGAGCTTAGCTCAGTCAGTAACTTGCCTTGCTTCGGTGCCTTTCTCATATTACGTATAACATTAAAAAAAAAAAATATATATATATATATAGATATATATATACAGCATATACAACATTAAAAAAAAAAAAAAATAGCGAAGTTGAAAAGAAAAATCAAATATTTTTCTCTACACATTCAATTATGAATTATTCCACATCCATTGCATATTTTTCCCTGAACCAAACTAAAATAATTTGAGAGGTTGTGCAGTGAAAACCAAACCCTGGTCGACCCAAAGCTGAGCTGACCCTTGCTACGACGCTCAGCTCAGCTCCGCTTTTTGTGTCTGGCCTGCCATTAAAAACCTTTGATTCGATTTTGGATGCTGACTTAGTTCAGCTCAGCTGCGCTTTCGGTGGCCGGTCATCCTTAGATTATCATGTTTAGTAGCCATACAGGTGACCATGCTATAGTGGACTTAACACTCTTTATCAATTTAAATATAAAATGAAATAAATATCAAAATTATTTTCATCTGATTTGAGTTTTTAGCTCTGTTGAATTTCTAGAAAACTATAACATATGAGTATGAGACTGTGTATGGTTTTACTATTATTATTATAATTTTAAGATATAAATAAAAACATAATTACCTTAATCGGATTATTAGACAAATCCAAACTCTTCAAATTTTGAAGTTGTATCCATTTCATGCTGCTTAATCCAGCCAGCTGATTATTACTTAACGTTAAAACTTTTAATTTGGGTAAGCCCATAAAAAAACCTTCCGTTATATTATTTATTTTGTTTCCCGAAACGTTCATATTTTTCAAGCTAGGCAAAGTGACATTAGGAAAAGAGGTGAGCCCAGTTTCAGCTAAATTCAAATAACTCAAATTTGAAATATTTTTGAAGGAGTCATTAGTGATAGAGACCAATTCATTACCACAAAGCTGTAAACTAGAAAGAGAATTTGAATTTTGTAAAGAACCGAGACTATCACCGGTGATTTTGTTATGACACAAATTTAAATCATATATTTTAGGTATAGCCTGGAAAATATTTTGATCAATATTTAATATTTGATTGTGAGACAAATCTAAAATTCTTAAAGTATTCCTGATATTAACAACTAATGATGATGGCAGAGATGAAATTCTATTGTTTGAAAGAGAAAGTTTTTCCACTTTGGTATTTTCAAAAGCATTATTAGGTATGTTATTGATACTGTTAAAAGACAGGTCTAAAATTCGCAAGTTTTCTAAATCTTTGAATTGCTCATTTTGAACTTCTTCAATGTGATTATGGGATAAATTCAAAATTTGAAGCTTCTTTAAGCTAATAAATGCATCCGGTTTGACTTTAACGATTTTATTATGAATGAGTGATAAATGTTCTAAATTAATCATACTATAAAAATCTTGCGATTCAATCGATGTTATTTCATTGTAAGACATATCTAAGAATTTCAAAGATGTCTGAATTTCTACTATCTTTTTGGGAACTTTTGCAAATTTGTTATGGCTTAAGTCGAGAACAATGATGTAGACAGGATTTCTCTGATACGTTGGTACTTTAAGATTTTCAATTCTATTACTCGATAGGTTTAGTGTCATAGGTTCATTCTGAGTGGTGACGTTTTCAAAAACAGTATAATCGAAAGTTAAAAGTTTATTTCCATGTAAATCAACCATTTTCAGTTTTGGTATATTACTGAAGGCCTTACTATCAATTATTTCAATAACATTATTTGATAAATAAACAGAAAATTCCTGAATCAAATCGGTAAAAACATTTTCTGATAGTTTGATTATTTTGTTGTTGTGCAGCCCGACTGTTTGGAGATTCGGAAGGCCAGCGAATGTTTTACTATCAATGGAGGGTATTTTATTAAATGATAACCTGATTTCTTTTAAAAATTTATGAGCATTCGAACTGAATACACTCGACTTAAGCTCTTTTAAATTATTGAAGTCTAATATAAGCGTTTCTATACTTTCCAAGTTGGAAATCGTTTCAGGTATTGCATTAATGTTATTATTGTCTAGTGCAAGATATTTTATCGATTTCAGCGTAGATAAAGCCGTAGGAAAACCGAAACCTTTCAATCCAAAGCTTATATCAAGTTTTTCTAAAGACTTGTCTAAGAATTTAAAAGCATTATGATCTATAGATCCGATATTATTGTATGACAAGCTCAGTTCAGTAAGCCTTGAAGCATACTCGAATGTATTGTTTTGAAGGAACAATATACTGTTACTCTGTAAAAATAACTTTTCCAAATAGTTTCCCCAAGATTTGAAATCTGATTTCCTAATATCAGCTATTCTATTGTAACCGAGATCGAGATGATGCAAAGATTTCAAAGATCCTAACGATTCGTAAGGAAAGACAGTAATTTTATTACCGGCTAATGTAAGTTTTTTAACACCACTAAGAGAAGATAGAGACGATTTTACTTTTAACAAATTATTATAATCAAACTTTAAAGTCTGCAAAGACTTTGAAGATTTTAAAGCATCAGGTAATTTATTGAATCTGTTACCCGAAAGATCCAAAAATTCTAAAGAATCTTTTAAACCGGAGAAAACTCCATCATCTAATTTGGAAAGTTTGTTATAAGACAAATCAATTTTTCTACAATCTAGATCATTCAGAGAATCCTTATCAACAGAGTGGATTTTATTATTACTCAGATTTAATTTTTTTACTCTTACGGTTTGATGGAACCATTTTCCCACAGATTCGAGCAGATTTCGTGACAAATCTAATTCCTCCAGGTTTATTTTGCCTTCATAATTATGCGTTAGTATGGATTCGATAAAATTATTGCTTAAACTAAAATATTGAAGTTCTTGTAAATAATTCAACAAAGGCTGAGGAAACTCCTTTATATTGTTACTGGATGCATTTAATACAGTAAGAGACATTGGCAATGAATTGGCTTCTAAAGTAAGCAGAGAATTTTCCGCCAGATTTATAGTTAGTAAAGCTTTCATATTCATCAAAGACAGTTCTGGTTTTAATGGCAAGTTCTCAATTTCATTTCCTCCCAAAGAGAGTTCTTTCACTATGTTATTTAAATTGGACCAATTTACGACCACAGATGAGATTTGATTCCTGAAAAAAAGAAGATATATAAGTAAACAATTTTGTGTATAGTATATATTTTTGCTTAATATGCTTCTATAACTACTTATCTAAACAATAAATGTATAAATACTTACTGATAAAGTGACAGAATTTTTAATTTTTCCAAATACTGAATTGCATTGATGGGTACTTCATCTAAATTGTTAAAATCAAGATTTAGATCTTCAAGGGTATCATTCATTTTACTGAAAAAAAGAAAAATAAATAAATAAAACTTTATAAGACTAGAGATTATATACAATATAATATATAAAATAATATATTATATTCAAGATAAAATATCTAGATTGAAAAATAATTGCTGTCACCTATGTAAAATTAAACTAACACCTCCAAGATGAATACCATTTCCCATACAAATTTTTATTTTGTATTAGGAAAGTAGGAGGTACCAGGAGCTCAACACATGAGTAATTAAATGAATAGCCATATAATTTGTGAAATAATCGCCATAGTAGAGCAGCACTACCAAGCCTAGAGGACTGGGCTGAAAAATGATGAGCTCCTATTATCTCCTACTCTCCTAATACTGAAATAAAATAAAATATTAAAGTCACTAAATACAGTTTCATATAATAGAGAGAATTATTCAAATAAACAGCATAGGGTACTTTTATACAAGATGCAGAGGGGCATCTGTCAGTTTCAGAAAGTGGAGAAAAAGTCAATTTTCGTTTCATAAGTTTAACCTAAATTGTTTCTGATGATGTATGTTCAAGTTGGCCATGCGGGCTAACGCGTGTGAACAGCACCATCATTGCCCGGCAACGTGATATATAAGATAAAGTGATAAAAAATAGTAACAAGTTCACGTCCCGATGTCCTTCTTTCATATGGAGCAAATCAATTATTGATTTTATATAAACAAATATAGGCATGTAAGAGATCAATAAAAACTAAACCCTCCTACCCTTTACTCCCTATTATTAAATAAGATTAAGGCAGCTGAATTCAGTAACATACTCGTTGAGCAGGGGGAGCTTTTTGGGGCCTCAGATACTTAGCAATGATGACAATTTATAAGTTGGGGTTTTAGGTATTATGAGGTTTGTGTGATCCTCTCGCATTGACAGAAGAGGAAGTTGGCAAAAATTTAGTAAAGAACTATGCTACGGGTCAACAGAGAATATTAGAGAGTATCCCTTCAGGCAGCAAAGGTATTAACAGGAAAGCTACTGATCGACCTCCTTATGCAATAAAACATGATGAAATATGCAGTCAAGAAATATGGCTCAGTAGGTCTGCTAGGAAATCATAAGATGAGAATAGATAAGAACCTCAGAAAATAGAAAAATATTATTTGGAAGGTTACAAAGGAGGTTATAAGGTTACAAATATTAGACAAGTACCTACAATTGTAAAAATCTAAAATAGAATAAAATACTTACGAAAACACTTTATCTTGAATTGAATGTATTCTATTATTGCTTAGAACAATTCTTGACGCTGTTAAATTTAAAAAGGAATCATCTTCTAAAACCTCCAGGCCACTTCCAGTGATACTTAACTGATCAAGTTTATTATCAGTTAAATCTGAAAATCGAATCCAATTAGAAAATAATATTATGTTATAAGAAAATAAATTTATGTAAAAAAAAAAAACAACTTACAAGGCAGTTTAAAAAACGGAACTTTGGTACATGACATCTCCTTAATCTCTGCCGAGTTAAACTGATTTAGTTGGCAGGTACACATTTCGTTAGAAGGGCAGCTTTTCCACTCGCTTTGCCCATGTTTAATAAAAACACAAATAATAATCTGAAAAAAAATAATAAAAATAGTTATACAAACAGAAGACAGAAACTTACTGAAATTTCACATTTTAGCTAATCACTTTTTTTTTTTTTGTTTATTTATCCACAAAACACTTGCTATTTTACCAGTGCGCATTGCGTAACCCAATTGACATTGAAGACTAGGAATATTTCATTTTTATTTGTGGATACCTGTTTCAATGCATTACAGACCTTCAAATGAAATATATCCATATCTCCAGTCGGCAAAGAAGAAACTAGTGAATTGAGAATATAAATTCTACACCGACGAAATGGGCATGGAGTATTAAGATTGTTATAGGATACCAAAAATAAAACCAGTAGAGCAATTAACTTATTAGGAACTTCTTCTAGATAAGACTCAAGAAATACTCTCATTCACGCGATGCTCACATTCAAAAGTTTCTTGACGATAAATTGCCAGATATCATTGAAATATCTCTAACATTCATAATGTTATCATCAACAACTGCACTGCCTTTGAAGTACTAAGGGCTAAATTGCAGATAAAAATCAGTTTCTATGTCCATAAAAGTTAAGCACTCCAAAAAACAAACCATACTACAAAGATTTTGTATATGAGTGAAAAGCCTCACAAGAAGTAAATCATATTCTGGAAGACTATCTTCCGATGAAAGAAAATAAAACTTATTCAAGGCAGACGTATAAGGAACATGCACATTACAACAATGTAATGGTTTTATTTAGAGTTAGTCATTAAGCAGACAAGATAAACATTGGCTTTACTGCAAACTACTTAAAAGGTAATAAATATATTCCTTTAAAAATGCAAAAAAATACATCATTATGTCATGGAGAAATGACAAAAACAGATATTGTAATTTTAATCTCTAGTATAAAAGATAAAACTTGGAATTACTGTATAAAAATGAAGGAAGTATTTGAGGAACACTGGTGTTGTGCTCTTAAAAAACTGACTAATGAAAATATAGAACTTTGAACGACAGCTCTGTTCATTAGGTGATAAAAGAAAGTTCATAAAATTTATTAAACTTATTCAATAGACTTCTTAAAAAGATCTGGAATCTCTGGCTCTTCCATTAGAAGAAAATGCCAAATCTGGCAAGAAAAATTACTGAAAAAGCAGTCTACTAAAGACTGCAAGCAGCTCAAAGAAAGAAAAAAGAAACTATGGTGTAAATATTTCCAACAAAACCTAAGCTTTAGTACCAAAATGTATTTTATGGACACACCAGAATATTAATATATTTTCTGTATTTGTAACTTGTTCTAAAGGGACACTAGTCCCAGAATAATAAAATTATTTTCATTCATTCAAAGAGTATATGTCTATTAACAATATACTAATGAATTCCTTGGATCTCAACAATTTAAGTAAACACTACTAGACAAAGGGAGTAGCCAAAAGTCTAATGACTGGAAAAAAAAGGAGCAGTTATTTCAAGGACAAATTTATAATAGCTGGGTATGCGCTATACGTCCAAAGAAAACTAAAAAAAGTCCTGATGAAATTTTGCAACTTAGGAGCTAAAGCCAGAAACTATCTTATGACAGTTATGAACTTTTCATGGAATTTCATTTTACCACTATTGTTAATATTGAAAAAATAAACATAATTAAGAATAATAACAAAATAAAAATTTTAAATTTATAGATAATAACGTAACTGAAATCCAAATAGAATTTCAAGCAACACTTCGAAAATAAATTAAGACCTTTAATTAGTGACCACTGTTCTAGAACAAAGGTTTCGTAATTTGAATCTATCATTCTAAGCCATCTGTGATTACATCAATTTTGGTTGCTTATTTCAAAATATACTAAAACCGCGTTTTAGTTTTAAAATTTAATTTTAGATGCAGTATATATTTAATAATTAGGACAAAGTATCAGTAAAAGTAATTAAATTAATTATTTTATCCTGTTTCTTAATTTCTGAACTGTCAATTTAATGACCTTAATGGGCTGTCAAATGTGGGAGTTCAAATGACTTCACCTGTTTCATGAGCACAGTACTTATAAGGTAAATAACCTAGTTATCTGTAAAAAAGAAAAAAACGAAAGAGACTTCTAAAAGCCCTTTTAATTTTATATTGAGATTAATTAAAATATACTGTATGCTTAAAACAGACAAAAAGTTTCCTTTAGGGCATAATTTAAATTTGAAACAAATTATGAATCCTTAATAAAGGTGTGATGAAGTAAAAACAATCACAATCTAAGCAATTTCTGAGTTTGGTGACTTTTAAATTTGCAAGGTATTATTATGACTTCAATAATAAAACAACTTCATAATTAGCAAAGAAATTCATAACTGTTGAAACAATGAAATTCAACAAAAATAAATATTAAATTAGATGCAGAAATCATCAATTTAAGATGAAATGTGAAAATATATTTCAACAATTCATGCAAATGTGTGTAACATAAACAAATATATTAATCATAGTAAAAATTTACAGAGAATCGACAACTTTATGATTATACTTTTACTAAACAACATTGAATGAATATACATTTGAAACACATATTGACAAAGTTAATTAACTATATAAAACTTACAGCTAACTGAAAGTAAGATGAATATTTCTGAATCATTTTTACTTAAACTTTGATCACTGATTGAAAATAACACACAAAAACAGCTCAAAATCTATGTTAGAACACATATTCCATAGGTAATAACAGTTCACACAACCACGATGTCCAAACACCGTAACTCGATGAAACAACTGTAACACTTTCTTGACAAGCGAGAAGGACGAATAGCTGTGGCGCCAAGGTTTGACTGAAGTGGTAGGGAGGAAAGTTAGATAACAAAAAAATATTTGTTTTTTATGTTTTATGAATACATTATGACGTTTATAAAATATTTACAAAGCTAAAGTGAAAATATTTTCAATTTAAATAACAGTTTCTATAAGTTTGTGTAATTGAGTTCTGTAACTGGAATTCCAACTTAGTCATCAGGTAGTCTGCTTGCGTATTGTTAGAGGAAAATGAATCATTCCAGGTAATTATTTCTCTATTTTTTAAAAACTCTCATTTTCCGTAGGATTAAAATTGCATTATGTGCTTTAACTTTTGGGTTGAGTTTCATTTAATTTTTAACGTTTAATATTTTCCAAAAATCTTTAAAATAGATGACCTTTCTTAAAAAAGTAGAGGTAAAACTACGGCATATATTCTCCTTGATATCATATTAAAATGTGGTTAGTAACTCAAAATTATTTTAATAATCAATGTTTTTCGTTTTATAATAATTACTCTGTACGTTTTTTCTCCATACATAATTCTGCATAAAGATGTAAACACTACAATTTCTACTACGATTAATGGAGTCATCTAGGTACTAACTCAAAAATATTTTGATTATCAATATGTTTTTCGTTTATAATAATTATTCTGATTTTTTCCAATGTATACGCCTTCTTAACATTTTCTTCAGTCTTATGCGATTTCTACCTAGGCCAAATGATTCATCTAGGTGTTAAACTTTACTTAGCTGTTTTTCAGTCTTGTAAGAGCAATGAATCTTGGACGAAAGAACTATAATATATAAAACGATTCTGAGGCCTGTTGTTTCATATGGAAGCGTGACATGGTCCATGACTAAAGAAAGCAAAAGGATGTTCCATGCATGAGAAAGAAAAGTACTCCAGAAAATTTATGGGCTAATTAAAGTGGAGGCTCAATGGAGAATTAGGTCTAATCTAGAGCTAAAAGATCTTCATGGTGAACATGACATTGTTAGAGTCATCCAACTCAACAGATTGCGATGGTTGGGACTTGTGGAAAGGATTGATCCTACAAGAATGCCGAGAAAACATCTCTATGGAAAGCCGCAGCTCAGATGGTTGGACGAAGTGGAAGGTAACCTAAAGGAAATGGGTGTAAAGCGGTGGAGGTGCTTCGCTGCTGATAGGTGGAAGAAGACGTTAGCAGAGGGCATGGTTCTTCAAGGACTGTAGAGCCCACCAATGAATGAATGAAGAGCGGTGACATTTGTATGTTTTCAATCAAATATGGATAAAGCTGAAATGTCTATGAGATTAAATAATCAAAAGGAAAGCTTTGGAAACATCATTTAAAAAATCCTTGTTCTCAAAGATTCATTTTTACATCATGAAATGGAAGTCTTGAATAATATCTAATGAACATGTTTCCTAAACTCAGCGTTGACCACCTACGATATAACCTATTCTAACCATAGTGAGAAGGTCGAGATTTATTCTGTAGCTCTGTCTTGAGATCAATTTCAACTCTCCCATTTGTTAATTATAAGAGAAAGCATTAAACGCTTTATTAACACGCACGACATCCACTTTGCCTAACGATCTTGGTCACTTGCAATTTCTTCCTGTGTAGATAAATCAAAGACATTAGGAGTATTCATGCACTTGTAAATGCTTAATGTGCTATCATGCTAAGCAGTCAGTACAAATTTTGAATGAATTATAAATAACCTATCTGTGCTAAGGCGCTAAAGTGTTATCAGTTATAGTAAGGTTATGCCTCTACTGTTAACAAAGTTTGTGAGTTCTTAGGTGATCTACTGCACCTCTGTAAGTTCACACGGATTGCGCGTGGTTCAAAATCACTTCGGTCACACTTGTTTATAAACAGCCGAAAACAGTCGAATGGTGCCAAATTTTATGGCATCAGTTTTTGTCTTAACCACACATATTTACAGTAAAGTTATCACACTCAAAAGATAAAAGTCGGTTCATGCTGTAAAACTTGTACAAAGTTGTCTATCCATCTATTTTTTTGGCCTTCCACTTGGTCTTTTTCCTTCTATTGATGTATTCATTGTTACATAGAGGCTTCTAAATGGAATGCTACGAGCTACATCTTAACCTCCGTGCCCTCATATCATGAATGAATGAATGAATGGACAAATAATTTTATTCTGGAACTACAGTCCCCTAAGAATAATAACAGAGTTACATAATTAAGAATATTAGTTTGGCTTAGATGAATACAAAATAATGTCTAATTAACTGTTGATTGTTATGGCAATTTTGCAATTGATTGAATTAGACTTTGTACAGATGCAAGTGAATTTTACATGTTTGTGAAAGTTTGAAGGAATTTGTGGACGAGGATTGACTTATGGAGTTAGGTAGAGCGTTCCAAAAGGAGGTAGCACGAATGACGAAGAATTTGCTGAAGGAAGCAGTTTTATGGAAAGGGATATATAAATCTATAGGTTGAGACCTGGTATTGTGAGAGTGAACAGAGGAATGTAAAGTAAATAGCTCCAGGATATAGGGAGGGTTTTTGGTTCTGAGGACTTGGAAAAGGAAAACACCTAGGAATTGTCGTCGGGAAGTATGATAAAGCCACTTCAACTCGGTGTACTTGAATGAAACATGGGACGCTAAGGGATTCCGAAGATGTATCACGGGATATTGATTGACTGTAAACAGTTCTTTATTGGTCTTTCTTCTCCATGTATTAGTACTCTGATCCCTGATCGCTCCGGTTATCGTGAGGAGGATTTTTCTTTCAAATCTTTCAACACCTTTTTCTAGGGTGCTGGTTAATGTCCAGGTTTCACAGCCATAGCCAGAACTGGCTTTATCATAGCATTGTAGACTCTTCATTTAAATGAGATTTCTTGAGATTTTTCGGGATTTCAATACCTTTGAAAGAGGAAAGAAAGCTCTGTTTGCGCCAGTTATACACTGATCTATTTCTGCCCGTTGGTCATTCATTGAGGTTATTGTGGAGACGATAAAATTCTTTTAGGAAACTAAGCTGTTGGAAAATAGAGCGATACAAATAGTTTTTTTGAAAACAATCTTTATATGTTGCTCATACATTGGTATGTCCTAAAGATGAAATGGATGAGCCGAAACGTTAATCTTAAATAAAATTTAACAAATTTTACTATCTTGTTTATCCTACAATGGTTAATCGACATATTAATTATTAATCTTCTTAGAATTTCTATTTACGGATACATTCTAATCTAAATAATTTTTAGAATACCTATAAAGACTTCATTCAAAATTAAATGATTTCTTTAAAGCAACAGATGGTTGTGTATTGCATTAACATGACGTTAAACACAGCATTCCTAAGCTTTCTCTAGAGTAAATCTCTCCCTTTAAAAGGTTTCTCTATTTTCTTATATTTTATAATGATGTTGAAGTTTCTTCGAAAGTATAATTAGAAAAACTTGTTTTTTACTCTAAAAATATTTCCTTATTTTAATGGGAATGTTTACAATCTCTAATTAGTTCGTGAATAGTCGGTCGATGGCGAATAGTTATGTTAGTACATTATCGATGAAACTAAACAATTGGTGCTTATTTTTGAATTTCTAGTAGGGGAATTCATCAGATTACTTAGGATCTGGTTACACAGTTACTAACACAAAAGCCTCGATTAGAATGAGAGAATTTACCAGAGCCCAATCGGTGAGTTTAAAACTAGGCAACACAGCTGTTGTGATTGCTCTTTTGCCAACTAGATTGCGACATTTTATAAACTCTGAAACCAATTCCCACAAGGCTACTAACAGTTTTCTATCAATAATAACAGACGACTAAGTAATTAGCTAACAAGCCCATACGGCATTCATTAGTAATCAAACAATCAATTTTTCTCGCATCTCGTTTAAAACTATTGCGTTTTAGCTAGTAAACATCAATATAATGATACTAGAAGCTAGAAAATTCGCAGAATAATATCTTATAAACACGATTTTATACAAGCAGACAGCCATATAATATTTTATTTTATAATTTTATGAAAAACTTCAATTTCTAATCCCAGAGTGTGTATTTAAATTTAAATAAAGGTGCCATGTATGTGCATAGTAATTACAAAGGTATATTACTACTCCCTGTAGTCTACAAGATTATGACCAGTATCCTACTAAGATCACACCAATATAATATAACAATATTGTATAGTTTACTAGTATTACGAAAATATAATAGATGATCACCAAGATGGATTCAGAAGAAGAAAAAGGAGCATGCTTGTCCAGATCTTTATCTTAAAACACGATGGAATGTAGCTCAGGATATGCACAGCTTGAATTGTAGATTCGAAAACAGCCTATGATCCGGTAGAAAGTATTTTAGAAAATGATGATTGAATTGGAAGTTTCTGGAAACTTAGTGGGATTGACGAAGGCGTGTACAAATGACACTAAATTTTGAATCTGACCGTGCCCACCTCCTTAAAAATAAATTATGTTAAAACCTACTAAATTAAATTTCACGTTCTCCATGGATTCATCTTAGTCCGTGGTACAGACCTCTTTTTATCGAATTATTAGCATCCACCTGAAACTTCGTAAATAGTTTCATCTTATCGTAACCTACAACTATTTTATTTAGGAAAACTCTTGGAATTGGGGGGTATTAAATCTGGAGGGGGCAAACTTTGTCTATTTAATTAGGTACTAAAAACTAGTAAATACACATTTGATTGGATCGTAAGATGATTTGATCACAAAATCAAGAAAAAAGGCGGCCTTCAAAAATATTGAGCCGTTTAACGTGACCTACACATCCAAAATTTAAAAATAAGGAGGTTATATAGGACAAATGGCTCAATATTTTTGTAAACCACCTTTTTTATCGATTTTGTGATCAAATTATCTTACGATCCAAGGAGAAAGGAAATGGGTATTTAAGAGGTTTTAGTACCTAATTAAATGGAAAAAGTTTACCCCCCTTCAGATTGAAAATGCCCCAATTACAAGAGTTTTCGTTAATAAAATAATTGTAGGTTATGATGAGATGAAACTATTTACGAAGTTTCAGGCGGATGTTTATAATTCGATAAAAAGGGGTCTGTACCACGGACTATCTATTTATCATTACTCTTTTATCATTATTATTTTTTTTTATGAAAATATTTTTTAAAAATATTAATATGTTTATTCACATATGTATACCTAGTCACACAATTAACTCAACAAATTCTTAATTAACCTAACAAAATTTTTAATTTTTTGTTATTTGAATACCATTAGAATCCCAAACACGATGCCTAAAATCAGTCAAAGGAAGAAGGCAACATATCAACGAAATGCTAAAAAACCTGTCTTATTTATTACCTTAAAAAAACCCAAACCGACAGATCCTTTGGACTCACGGGAAGGATTTTGTTATAAAGACGACATGGACGAGGATGATAATAAATTATCAGAAAAAAGTGAGAGTCTAGAAGAAATCGTACATCGCCGGAAAAAATTGCCCACGAAACGCGACGGAGATGAAGTCAATAAAAGAAAGCAAGGTTTGGTTCCTAAACCTTTGAACACCGGTGGCGTCAAAAGGAAAGATATAGAAGAGTTTCTGAAAGAACAAATGAAGAAAAGATGCAGAAAACATAATCATAGTAAAACACGTGCTCTTTATGCCAATCTTCTTTAAGTAATTTTTATTGTAATGTTTTAAGACATAATTTTTCTTAAACAAAATAAAGAAAAGAAAAGAAAAAGAGAGACAACTTTAATTTGATATATTTATTTCGATGGCAAAACTTATATGATAATAAATATAAGTTATGTTCAACTAAATATCAGAAAAGAAAATTGAAGAAAAAAAAACTAAGGTGTGTGCTTTAGACCACACGATAGAAGGGAAAATAACAAGGCCAGATTAATAATATGGAATATAAATTGTAAATAATAGATCATTATAAAGAGGGTCAAATGATGAATACTTTCCTCGCTTACAGTACGCAGGTCTGATTTTTGCTTCTGAGATATTTTAATCCATATCTTCCATAAAACCCATAATTTGGGTTACGGTTATATTATATCCCAGTATTTTTCAATTATTTTGATTACATCTTTCCAGTTGATATTGGTAAATTTTTATTTTATTTTATTTCTTTATGACATTTACAACTGTATTACATAAATACATCAAGTAAATTTGGACATAATTGATATAATGACATGAATACACTTGCTGAGTAACTACCCAATGGTAGCACTCTAATGATATGTCTACATTAGGAGATCACGACGCTATCTTCTTTTCAGACGCCTCGGAGGGTTATCAGGAATTGAAGAGGAAGCAAGGTTAGAAACGAGGGGGTTGGGATGATTCTGAAGTTTGCTATGGAAGGGTAGATGTCTGGATTGGGTCAGATCTGAAACATAAGAATAATTAAGATCATTGTGGATGGTTTTATTAGTGACAAAGTAAGGAGCATTGAGGATTTTACGAAGGATTTTGGATTGTAAGGATTGGATGCGAGAGGAATTCGATGGTTTAGTGGAGCCCCATAGCTCAACTCCGTAAGTCCAAATAGGTCTTATTATAGTCAAGTATATGAGTCTTTTGTAATTAATGGGAAGTTTAGAGCGTTTGTCTACTAAGTGCTGAAGTAATCGGAAACGTCGAGCGGTTTCTTGTCGTTTCAGTCTAGTATGAGGATTCCAAGCTAGTCGTTTGTCCAGGTGGAGTCCTAGGTATCGGATTTGCTCAACAGGGATAAGTGGAGTATTGTTAAAGGAAACTGTAGGACAGGAAGTCGTTGGTTTACGACGAAGGGTAAAGGTAATTTGGTGGGATTTATTGGAGTTTATTTTAATTCTCCAGTTTTGACACCAATCTTCTAGATTTATGATGTGTGATTGAAGCATTTGGGATGCCATTGTTGGTTCATTGTTTACTGATAGGATACATGTGTCATCGGCATATGTGGTGATGACAGTGTTGGGACAGGTAGGGATGTCAGCTGTATAAACTGTATAGAAGATAGGACCTAGGATACTACCTTGAGGAACACCAGCGGAGTGGAAATATTGGTAAATAAATTTGCAATAGGTTTTAAGATGTCAGATAGGTCTTGCAAAAAAAATCGATTGTTTGAATAAAAATTGAGGCAAAATAGTTACTAATACTTGACAATTTTAGTTACTATGAAAATGAAAATGTAATGAAAAAATGATTTTATTCTGGGACTACTGTCCCCTAAGAATAATAACAGAGTTACAAATTCATAGGTCTTAGTCTGACATAATAAAAATACAAACTAATTTACTATTAATTGTTATTTCAATTGTGCAATAGATTGAAATTAAACAGTGTACAGATGCAAGTAATTTTACATGTTAGGGGAAGTTTGAATGTGGAGTAGGTGTTGGAACAGGAGTTGTTTGAAGGAATTTGTGGACGAGGATTGACGCATGGAGGTAGGAAGTGAGTTCCATAAAGAGGCAGCACGAATGACAAAGGATTTGCTGAAGGAGGAAGTTTTATGGGAAGGAATATATAAGTCTATAGATTGAGACCTAGTATTGAGAGAGTGGATAGAGGAGCGTAGAGTAAGGAGTTCCAGGATGTAGGGAGGGTTTTTGGTTCTGAAGACTTTGAAAAGGAAAACACCAAGGAGGAATTGTCGTCGGGAAGTAGGATAAAGCCACTTCAACTCGGTGTACCAGAGTGAAACATGTGAACGCCTGGGGAATGTATCTTATGAAACAATTCATGAGTCTCTTCAGTCTCATTTCCAGCCTGGCAGATAGCTCTCCATACACCAAACAGCCGTAGTCGAAGTGGGGGAATACAAGGGAGGTTACAAGGAGCTGTCTGGTTTTTAGAGGGATACAATCACGGAATCTTAGGAGTTGTTTAAGGGCAGTTATGGATTTTCGGGTAATCTGGGAGATATGGTTATTCCAGGAGAGGTTCTGGTCAAAGGTTACTCCTAGGTTTTTGACTGTAGGGAAAACTGGATGGGACGGTTATTGAGGTTAAGTAGGGGAAAGTATGGAAGGGAGCTGATGAGATGTCTGGACCCGATGATAATAGCCTTCGTTTTATTTGCATTCAGCTTTAATTCATTTATTACTATATGTAAAGAATTGGTGTAACCAATATACTTTTGCATTTAACTCTTCTAATTTTTCATTTAGGCTTAGTTAGGTTTCTCATATCTAAAAAATTACAGTAAAATCTCTCTAGTAATAAGCTAATAGGTAACTGCAAGACTGCTACGAGAGTCTTACGCAAGACCAAGACTCGTCTCGTCTTTTCTTATTTTTTATGCTGATTTCGGAATTGAATGTGAAATAGAATATTTAAATCGGTATAAATGGTTAATCCATTCCCTTTTAAAAATTACCGAATAACACAAGATTTTTTTCGTGTATTCGTAATAGTTTCTACAGCGTAAACTTTAACATTCTTGAATCTAACGACACCGGTTCGAATTCGGTCTGGGTAGATTAAAATTTATTTCATGGTGGACCCACAGAATGAATCTCCACCTTTCCACTCTGCATAAAATAGGTTTTGTTATATCACTAGGACAACCTCTATGACGGGATAGGGAGTAATCAGAAAAAAAACTTTCAAAATCGGTTTAATTAAGAGACTATATAGAAGCTGAATGTGCTCCTGGTGAGGGTTTCGACCTAAGGGTAAATCCACAGTTGATATAACTGATTAAATAATTACTTGAACAAGCTTAATTCGAACCCGGATCTTACTGTAACAGTACATTACTCCCTGAATTACCTCGACCCCTAATTTCGGAACAGATGTCAATTACTGAAATTGAGTTTTGTATTGCGGTTCAGAAGCAGGTTTACTAAATAAAATTAAATTACTTACTTACTTAAGAATAGCATGTCAGGTGTGATGAATTGAAATATACAGACATAAATAGTCACTTAAGTTAGGGCTTGCCAAAAGCGCAATGTTTAGTTAGAAGCTGTCAAATCTGTTGTTTGACAGAAAACATTTGGCAGCTCACAAGAACGATTTCCCAATGGACTTATTTCAATATCTTAGAAATTTATAAATGGTTTGTAAAAGGGTATTGTGTACTACCAAAAGTTATTTTTTATTTACATACAAACGAAACAACAAATTAAACATCACAATCTAATTGAAAAATAGTCCACTTAATCGAAGAAATCATTTAAATCACAAAATAGAACTTAATAGGAACATTTACTATCCATAAATACAGGTACAAGTAGCTCATTAAAAGGCTATCCGGTTCACTAAAATTATCGCTGCCACCAATATCAGTTTTCCTTCAACTTTGTTGATCGATGCTTTGCTGCCAAAGACGTAGGTGCATCCTGGCCTATGGTAGGTCAGCAATGGTGTCAACTGTCCGTTCGAGGGAGGTACGCACATCAGGGACTTCATCTCTTCTTCTTGTTGCTCGTTGAAGTTCACTTTGACTGATTCGAACATGTATCTCTTCATCCAGTCGCTGAACCAGACGGAGTTGCAGCCGCATGAAATAGGATTGCCTTGCAAGTTTATTCCTCCTAAGAAAGAAAAACATAATTAGAGTATATATAAGAGGAACAAAGATAAAAATTCATACAAGATATATTCAAAGAATTATGTACGGTACCTTGGACTCTTCTTAGACAAAAGACTTACTTGGAACATACATACGAAATTAAAAAGACAAGAACTTATTAGACGATATAGCCAACTTTCACATCTTCTAGACTACAGATCTTCACTTAACTTACGAAACAAGCGACTGATCTACAACACCTTACTGAGACCAATTTAGGCATATGGAGCAGAACTTTGGGGTTCAACAAAATAAACAAAATACAAACAGCACAATAAAAATTTTTACGAAAAATTGTTAACACACCTAGGTACATTTCAAATACTACTATACATAACGACTTAAACACCCCAACAGTAAAATCTTACATCCACGACAAATACACTACATTTCATTCTTCAACCCAAAATCACTCCAATCCTCTGGTTCTTTCTATCTCCTGTTCCCTGTTACCTGAACAACGCAGATTAAAAAGAAAATGGCCAAGAGAACTACTATACCAATAAAAACCATATCAAGCAAATACACAAAGACAATACAAACACAACAAATTTGCTAGATGCGTGGTCGCGCAGGTGCAAATTGCATAACATATAAAATATAAAAAAAAATACAAATAAATAAATATCGTAGGTTTATTGAAAAAAATCTCCAACTACATTTCTGATTGGTCTGAACTTATGATGATATATGATATGCTATATTAAATAAGTTATAACAACCACATAATTTTCTGATCCAATAATTGAAAATCACCATTCATCAAAGCTCAAAGACCTTAATAAAAATCCCCACATTCCCCACATATATTATTACAGTAGACTCGAAATCGGTTTTGTACCAAATATAAGCTCCTGTCCTGACCATGAATGGGGTACCGTTGAATTCAGAAATTCACGTGAGATTAACGAATCGTACTCTCCGCTTTTGTTTTGCTTTCTAAAATAAATAAAGTCGATACAAACATTTTGCTAGGCTTCGATACTGGAACGGTGGTAAGTCTATAGATGGATACGGGACAAATTGGGGATGATTTTGATGCATACTACAAGACCCAGATAGTTCCCTCGGAACTATTCTTAAGCCCAAAAACGTACTATTTTCGAGATAATGCAAGGCAAATGGTTCGCATCAACACAACCTTACGTTAATTGTACTACTGTCATGGAATACATATCTCATTTCGTCGACTTGAGGCCTCTATGATCGAGAGAGGAGGAGTTTATATTGTTTATCAAAGCAGTTTTTTTTGTCGGTAAGCCATATTTAGTTAATTGTTCATCAAATCCCAAGATTGAACAATCAATTTTTAAGGTTTTCTTCTTCAGGCAAGAAAAATAGTCCAATCACCTCTAAACTTCAGGCAAACAAGCCATGAAAGAAAAGAAACTTTATTTGCGAATAACTCAAAAATTATTCACTTTTTTGGTAATGTCCATTATTAAATAAAAGATTTCTAATTTCCCAACAAAAAGAAAAAAAAAATCCACGAAATCGGACAATAATTAGCGGAAATACAGCTTATTGAAATTTGTAAACATGTTGATTGCAAAAATTATTGCAATTTTAAATTAATTTTATTTCCTTTACTGATTTTATTTAGCAAAAAATTAACAATTGATTTCTCTATCTTATGATACTTGTATACGAAAATGGCAAAAAAGTAGGACTTGTGGTCAATGAAAACAAAACTAAATACCTGAAACTCTCCTCGGCAGCAAGTAGAAGATCCTGCAATGAAATCACAATAAAAATTTTAAAGTTCGAGTTCTGCCCTAAATAATGAAAATGTAATCAGCAGAGAAATAGACAACAGAATAATTGCTGTTAATATTGCTTACTGTGCAAACCTAAAACTTCTCAAGTCTCCATTGTTATCAAAAGCCACAAAAATAAAGCTGTAAGGCTTATTAGACCAGTAGTCACCTATGGAGCGAAAACCTGGTGTTTATCGCAAGAGGATTGCCGTAAACTAAAAGTATTTGAAAGGAAAATAATAGGAAAGAATTACGGTGCTACATGTGTTAATGGTGAGTGGAAAATCAAAAGTAACAATGATATCGAGGCTATATTAGAGAATAAAAACATTACTAACTATATCAAGGCATGTAGGCTGAGATGGGCAGGACATGTGGTCAGAATGGAGAATGAGCGGGTGGAGAGATATTGGAAGCACACTTCAGGGGGAAGAGGAAAAGAGGAAGACCGAGAAGCAGATGGGAAGATGAAGTAGAGAGAGATGCGAAGAAGCTAGGAGTTCGCAATTGGAAGAGAGTAGCACAGGACAGAGAGAAATAGAGAAAAATAACTGAGGAGGCCAAGGGTCATGCTGGCCTGTAGTTGAAGGGGAGTTAGTTAGGTAGTTATCTTATGATACGTTGTATTATTTTCTTTTCTTATTAATTTGTCACTTGATCACTAAACAATATACTGTGTGAATTTTTCGTATGTACCAGCTAGTTATATTAAATCTACATTACTATCTATAAAAAATCATGTATCAAACCTATTACCTGAATAAATAGAGGTGCCGTATTTTTGTAATCCATCCTTTACATAAAATATTTCAGGATCGACATCCCTCAATTTGTTGTTACTCAGATCGACTGAAAATTTATTGTTCCTCATGTTCCAGAAAAATCTTCTCGGAAAATGAGATATTTTCGTTCCAGTAATACGCAAACTCAACTCTCCAGAATGTTCCAGACATTCCAAACTGTTTTCACCGATTAGTTCCAAATTTTCACCTGTTATCTCCAAACTGTTCAACTTTTTCGGGAACGCTTGGATCAGCTGATCGGTTAGCTTGTCTTCCGTTACAAGTACTGATAAATGCTTGAGTTGTTTCAAAGTGGATATGATCCTTGCCAATCGGAAGCGATACTTTTCGATTTTCGGCCAAGTCTGAACGCGAAGCGATTTTAACATTTTGCATTCTTGTAAGGCGTCTGAATCGAATCTTTCCAAATGGTCGAGCTTCTGTAGGTCCAAATGGATCAGGTTCGGAAGACCAGAGAAACTGTCTTTCGTCAAAATCTGTAAAATCAAGATAAATATATTTTAGTAATTTATTGAAGAAAGTTCGTCGAATATTCTGCATGCCATTGGTGATTGATGATCAGGACTCAATCAATCAACATATCATATCAATAAAAAGTTTTTTTATTTGTTATATTTCAAGTTTTAACCTAAGTTATAGATCTTCATCAGAACTTCGTCCAACAATACTTGGGCACCGAGTGCCCTCTTTCATTGCTCTTGAGCCTCCCTACATTGTTGGACCGAGGTTTGATAGAGATCTACAGCTTAGGTCGAAACGTAGGCGGTAAATAAATGTAACCCTACATAGTTTGTGATTGTTGATCAGATCCCCGGCCAATCATTCCTTAAATTAGAGGAACGGTCAATCATTTCCGAACCTTTAAGTACTCATATTGTATTTTGTGTCTCGCACTTTTGGATGGAATCGTTGGCAGTAAAAGAAAAACATAAAAAATTGACTGAGTTCTGATTATTTATCACATATATTTTAATAATCATTTTCTTTTTCCATTTTTGAACGGTATTTTATTAAGATGAATCTCTTTAGAATAGGTCTTTGAATTTCCTATTTATCTAGGATGGTGATATGTGAATTGAAATATACTTTATGAAATAAAAATAAAATAAAGTCAGTTAAGTAAAGGAAAAAATCTGGTGCGCGCAACACACAACTTTCACTTATCGCTCTACTTTGAATAGAAATTATTTTCTGGCAAAGTTGGTCTATTTTAAAAATTTTGAAGTGTATTTTAAACGGAGCTAAATCTTAAAGCTTGCAGGTAACAAATCATTAAGACCATTATAATAACAAAAACCCAATTGATTATTTCAACGATAGGCAATAAAACCTCGGTACTCCATCTGTTTTTGTTAACCCTGTAACTACAGACTCTGAGCTAAATATCTACGTATATGCCTACAAAGATTTCAAAGTGTATCTGTATATTAAACATGTAAATGATTATGGATTATACGGTTATTAACTATTTAACGTTATTTTCCATTTTAAAGTTTACTAAAATGAAATTAAGAGATTTCCATTGCCTTCCATAGATAGGTCAAAAGTTGTGACACTAATTTTAAGTATATAATGTTGGGATTTCACAAAGGGACATTTTTTTTATTTTTTTTTATTCTTTTCGGAATAAATGGATGTTGATACCTAATACATACTTAACTACAGAATTGTTAAACTATAGTTAATGTATTTAAGGTTAGAAACATATGTTCTATACATCCATGAAATATTTTTATATTTCACTTCTTCTTTCACAAAAGTATAATGAAATAATTTTTTAAATAATGTCATAGGTTGGTATTAATTTTTTTTTAACTTTTAAAAGTTTATATTTATTTAGTAAATTTCATTTAATTTCCTTGAAAACACGCGATCCGTTAAATAATAATAGTCTTGAGAAATTAATATTTATATTTTTTTCTTCACTCTCCATTACCTTCTACGACTTTTCTATATTAGACATTGTTTTTTTCTGAAATTCTCGGCTTTCCAACGATGTATTATATGCATACCTTCTGAATATTATTTTCGAAGATTCATTTTCGAGCTAAATAAATATTTTTCCTGTTTTCTCCTTTATTCATTAATCTAAACTTCTATTTAGCCTTTTTTCATTATTTATATAAAAGAAAAACAGTTAATTATTTAAAATAAACCAAATTAAAGGTACTTTAGAAGAAGACATGTTGAACATTGGGCATGTAAGCCATGAAAAGTGACATCAATGGGGACAAGATTTAAATGATATTAAAAACCACTTAATTATACATTCATACATCGAGTTCAATCATAATCGTTATAGTCGTTTTTGAAAAAGTCTTAAAAACGTGTTTAATCGAATCTTTAAAGTTCGACTTCCGATAAGCTGATTTTTATGAAAAGGTTGCTGTAACATCTCAAACATATAAAAACCTTAAATTTGAAATTTCACTTTCTTACGACGTTTTCGAGCTAAACTGATAACATACACACAGACCATTTTGCCTGACTTGGTTATTTGGACTCAGGAGACCACAAAATTTGTATTTCTGTTGAAAACTCAAATTCGAATATTTTCACGATCGCGATACTTTCCCTTACTAGATATTACATATATAGGTAAGTGAAAGTAAAAATTAAATATTGCCAACACAGAATATCACAGGTAAAGTCTAAATTGCTGGGTAGCAGCGAAGTTGGGAGATAATGTCTTATCAATCCGATTAATTCGTAATAAAGATAAGCCTGGTATATTTCAAAGATCTGAAAGTAGTTTTGCCCAAATACAATACCAAGACGAGTTTCTTGCTCACTCGCTCTTGATCCTGGTCTTGGTCTTGCGCTAGAGTCTCGCAAGTCTTGCAGTTAGTTATTAGCTGCTATTTATTTAACATTATACTTTAGATCTTAGAAAAAGACTACAGAATAGGTACATTCAGACATTTTGTTGACAGATAAATATTAAAGTCCAATCAAATTAATAAAATTAACTTGACAATACATTAAAAGAATTGTCAAGAAAGATCGCGATAAGCCCCCAGATTGTAGAATAAAGACAATCTATGCAATGCAACCAATTATTTAAATAAAAATGTGGTTCGTCTACTCATATGACTTTCCTACCAAATTTAAATATTTTTAAAGATATATATCTCAATAATTTTTATTTTATATCTTTGGATATAATTTGTTTAAGATGTCGGTTTTGCACCATTTCGTGTAGAATATAGAACCCTAAACTCCTAATAACTTTTGTATGGATTGGTGGAGTCGTTCTACAATTATCAAAATTTTCGAAGGGTGCTGTTTAGGTAAAATTTCCGTGCAGAAAATTTTAATTTTTCGATTCCATAAATAAAAATAAAAGTAGAAATCTATTGTGAATAATAAAAATATTCAATTGATAGATGAATAGTTGATTCATGTTCATCAGTTTATTGAGGAATTTAAAAATATTTATTTTAATTTTTTTTTGTAAATTCTGAATAACTACCTGAAAATTGATCAAGGTGGTCTCTCTTGGGCATGAGAAGTTTACCCTACGCCGTCATTCGAGTGAAATCGATTAAGTCAAAAATAGATGCAACCATAATATATATTTCATGTGAGCATGACATAGAGCTCGTCTAAATTTTAAATGTATTGACATATAGTTGTGTTGAATTATTGCATGTTTTTATTTTCAATTATATAATACTATCATATACATTTAAAAAAATTAATCTTTTTAATTAGGTTTTTTTTTCGGTAGGAATGTGCAAGTTACATATTTCTTTGTCTTGGGAGAACCAAGTTGAATAATGTGGGGCTGAATTTCTTATCAGGTCAATATAAGATAAAATTATAAGCTATCAAATAAATATTATCCTTTTCCTTCTTTTTTTCTCTGATTCATGATAATAAAATAAGAAAAATAACTTTGCATTACAGAAATTTCTATGGGCCTTGTTATAAAGTACTCTTCAATTTTTTTTTTTCATTGAAGAGTAGTTAGTATTAGGGGTCCAACTACTTATTAATAACACACATAGAAGGCACAGGAAAAAAACAACAACAAAATAGTAGAAATGATATATAAATTAATAAATTAAAAATACATCTGGGAAAGCAATACTATAATAGTTAACCAGGGCACCTAGAGCAAAAAAAATATCTACGGAAAAAATTGTACCCGCTTAACCTGTTATACCATCACCATGGGAACCGGTGCAAAACTACATTTTTCAGAGCAGCTATTCAACAGCTTTTTTTCTTTTTTTTTTTTTTGTTGAATATCTATAAGTAATTGATAGGAAATATATATATGCTCATTGAAAATAATAATTTATAATTATCATAGATTTTTAACAATTATTTCCAGTTAATCAGTTAACCACTTAATCTTGGTATCTCAGTGGTAGGGTACTGAGCTTTCAATGCTAAAGGTCCTGGGTTCGAATCCCGACTCATGGTAGAAAAAATTATTTATTCTGTTTCATTGGCCGTGTGGCGATCCTGGGTAGGTAGACCCTCCTGAGGCACACCCAGCCTCTATAACGTGGCTACCCTTACTTAAAATAATAAATTAAGGGGAAAAAACCTGGCGGTTGAGCGTGATCTGGGTCAAATCACCTCCTTGCACAACCGTAGACTAAGAAACAGTGATTTCCCTAAATAGTACTGAACCCAAGACCCTTCATGGATTGTAGTGTTAAAGGTTTTTTTTAAGTTTTATCATTATTTTTCTCCCTATTTGATTTTTTCAAGAACAACAACTAGATTACGAAGTTGGTAAGCTTACATTAAACGTACCATATTACTAGTAATGTGATCAAATTTCCATATCTAATTTTATTGCTCCAGGTTATATTATAATAATTTTCTGCAACTTATGAAGCGTTGATTAATGAATTGTAATGAAATGAAAAAAATATTTTATTATTCTGGGACTGTTGTCCCTTAAGAACAAAATATAAATACAGATTGTATGTCCGTGTGGTTACAATTAAATTGTATATTTACAATATGAGTTGACTTAAGATAAAAATACTGAAAACAGAAAGAAAAGAACAAGTAAATTGTACATATATGTGAGAAACTAAAATAACCTTAATAAATTGAGGTAGTCTCTGGGGGTGCTTAGATATTTCTCTTAGGTATATTTCACAATCGGTCGGATTGAGAAAGGAGTAGGTGCTTAAAGAGGAGAGATTTGAAAGAGGAAACTGATTGAGCGTGCCGAATATCAGCAGGGATGGAATTCCAGAGGAAGGCGGCTTGTATTGCAAAGGATTTGTCAAACGCAGCAGTTCGGTGAGGAGGAGGATAGAGGTCAGTAGTACGAGATCTGGTGGGACGGGATTGGATGGAGTATTTGAATTGTAAGCTATGAAAAATATAGGATCACATGTTATCGTTTTTATTTTCTACAAGTCTTTAATGTATTATTAAGTAATTATTCTTTTTTATTATTATTTACAATATTTAATAATGAAAAATATCATAAAAAAACAAATTGGTGCCAACAACTTTAATATTAACCTATAAATGTTCCCTAAAGTAAAAAACGATTGGAGATTTCTGTCTTAGAGGAACAAATATTAAATAAGTGCAGAGGCAGAGAAGGTTTTAAAATGTTTACATATTGGATAACTTTTACAGCTGTCTCTTGAGCACGCTGTCACTTGTTTACACGTCTCTATAATAAATAGCACAAACGTCAGAGCAAGGACAAACAAGTCTAGCATATACAATAGCCTCAGGGATTTGTTTTAAAACTTTATCATTACGTCCTAATCTATCAAATGAGTAAGCTATGAAGATTTAATTCTTAAGAAAGAGAGTCTATATTCCTTGGCAGGGTTCGAAATGAACTTTTAACTGTTATTATTTAAGTGAAAATTTCTTTAGGTACTTTTTTGGTGGAGAGTTAATTAGATTTAGCCATCTGATCTCAAATGTGTAACGCTCAGGTAAAGTCGGCTGGAGTCGACCAATGAAAGTATTTTTGAATATGGATTAAAATATCTCAAAAACTAAAAATCGGATATGCATACTGGAAGCAAGAGAAATTTTCAATCCGTCATCCTCTTTCCAATGAGTTATTATTCAAATTTGTATCTTAATGCGACGCTATGCTAGAGAGATGAAAAGAGAAAAAACAGTGTCGAAAACCAAATTATAACCAGTTTTACTGAAGATATAGATTAAAATATGTCAGAAACTAAAAATCGGACCTGCATACTGTAAGCGAAGGAATCGTTCATCATTTCATCATTTTTATAATAAGCTATTATTAATAATTTATATATTATATTATTAATCTCTCCTTGATGTTTTCACTTCTATCGTGTGGTCTAAAGCACACACCTTAGTTTTTATTCCGTTTTATAATGACTGGGATCTTTATTCTCAGTTTTGTATTGTTATTTCGGAACTAGTATATTCCAAGTAAAGGTTTTACGAAAATTTTATTTTTAAAAACTTTTATTTAAAAGTTCTTCTGAAGTAATTCACTTTGCCAAAAAGTCAATCGATAATTTTTTTTTTCTCATCTTCTCAAACAAACGACACAGAATCAAAAAATTCATTCAAAATAAATTAAAACTATAATCTAAGCCCAATTACTGCTTATTATTCATTTAACGGAACCTTCTTTTTTTTTTTTTTTCAAAAATCTAAATAAATAAAGGTAAACCATAAACCTAATAGTCCATGGTACAGATCCGTTTTTGTCGAATTATTAATATCCGTCTGACACTTCGTAAATAGCTTCATCTCATCATAAAATACAACTATTTTATTTACAAAATTCTGCAAATTGGGGCGTTTTCAATCTGGAAGGGGGCAAACTTTGACTATTTAATTAGGTACTAAAAACTCGTAAACTCGTAAATACCCATTTACTTTCTACTTGGATCGTAACATAATTTAATCAGAAAATCGATAAAAAGGTGGCCTACAAAAATATTGTGTAGTTTGTCCTATATAACCTAGTTATTTTGAAAATTTGGAAGTGTAGTTCACGCCAAACGGCTCAATATTTTTGAAGGCCACCTTTTTTATCGACTTTGTGATCAAATTATCTTACGATCCAAAGAGAAAGGGTTTTTAGGAGTTTTTAGTACCTAATTAAGTAGACAAAGTTTGCTCCCCCCCTCCAAATTGAAAACGCCCCAGTTCTAAGAGATGAAGTTATTTACGAAGTTTCAGGGGAATATTAATAATTCGATAAAAAGGGGTCTGTACCACGGACTATAGAACTTTATCGCAAATAAGTTCTTTAAAACTTTTCATTTTTAAAATTTATTTCCTAAAGCGTTTCACGGAAACTGTTAAGATTGGACTTTTTAAAAAAAGTTTGAACTCCTATTTCTTATAATTATTCTGTTTATAAAATTAATATAACCCGATTTACTTACCTTAATAGGATTGTTCGATAGGTTGAGGCTTTTTAGATTCGGGGAATGTTGCCAGAAAACTCCATTCAACGCAGGTAACTTGTTATGGCTCAGGTCCAGATGTCTCAACTTGGGAAGTTTAGAAAGAAATGACTCGGATAATTTTTCAATGTGATTGTGAGAAATGTTCAACGCCACCAAATTGGGTATGTCTATTGCGGGAATATCATTTAAGTTAGTGTCGGCAAGATTCAAGTACCTCAAGTTCTGCATATTGTGGAAAAGTAATCTGTTCACTGAGGATAGTTTGTTCGAACATAGTTCAAGTTTCACTAAAGACATGCTGTGTTTGAATTCTGTCGGATGGATGTGGGTCAGTTTGTTGTGGCATAGATTTATCTCGTTTAAGGAAGGCATTGCTGAGAACAAATCTCTGCTCAACTGCTCTATTTGATTGTGCGAAAAATCGACGACTCTCAATGTATAGGTTATGTCTGCGAATGGTGCGGAGGGGAGTAATACGAATACATTGTTGCTTAAGATAAGTTTTTCTATTTTCGTGTTGTGGAACGCATCGTCAGTGATCGAACGCAAAGTGTTGTGCGACAGGTCTAATATCCTCAAGTTTTCTAAATTTTCGAACTGTCTCGGATGTAAGAATTCGATATGATTCGAAGATAAATCTAAGATCTGCAATTTATGAAGACCTTCGAAGCTGCCTGGTTTCAAGGATATAAGGCCATTATTTTTCAAACTTAAGTATTCTAAAGTTTTCGTATTTGAAAACACGCTACTTTCGACAGTCCTTATATGATTAAAGCTGAGATCAAGCCTCCTCAATGAGTCCTTGATACTGATCATCAAATTCTGAGGAACGCTCGTCAGCTTATTATGACTCAAGTCGAAGTTCTTCAAGTAGAGCGAACTCATCACCTCGCTTGCGTATATATTATCGATGTAATTTCTTGAAAGGTTTATGCTCATAGGCTGCAAAATGTTCGTCACGTTTTGGAATATGTTAAAGCTGAATTCATGAAGCTCGTTGTTCTGCAAATCGAGTTGGATCAGATTCGGGATGTTTATGAAGGCCTGCGCCGTGAGCTTACTGATGTGATTATTCGAAAGGCTGACCCTAAGGATATTCGGCAAGTTTTTGAACGAGCCTTCGTGAATAAAAGCGATTTGATTGTCGTTTAAAATTATGTTCTGCAGCTCATCTAAACCGCTGAAAGTATTAGGACCTATGCTCAGGAGTTCGTTAAAGGACATCCTTATATCTTTCAAGTACCTGTGAACTTTAGGATGAAAAAAATTCTCAGGTATTTCAACGATTCTATTAAAGTCCAAGATCAAATATTGTAAATAATGGGAATCGTAAAGAGCAGTAGGTGGTAATGTACTGATATTGTTACCAGTAAGTGCTAGGTACAAAAGTGAAGACAACGGTTTCAATGCGACTTCTGGAAATTCGTTCGTCTTGAGTCCGAAACTCATGTCTAAGGTCGTAATGCGTTCCAAGTTCACGAATGCCTTGTCTTCAACTCTTTCTATCTCGTTGTATGCAAGATAAAGTTTCTCCAAGCTCTTTAAAGATTTGAAAGTCTTATCTTTCAACACCTGGATGTTGTTATTAGTCAGATAAAGTGTTTCAAGGTTCTCTCCCCATTTCATGAAATCGTTTTCATCTATTTCTTCTATGAAGTTGTTACTAAGATTCAACAAGACTAATTTTTTTGTGTTTTTCAAAACATTTCTCGGGAACGTTCTCATCCCTGTTCCGACCAATGATAGACTTTTGATCGATTGCGAACAATTTCTCAAGAAGTTGTCCGAGTAATTATTAGACATTTCATTGTAATCGAGAATGAGCGTTCTTATGTGTTTGAGACCGAAGATAGCTTTCGGGATCTTGGTGAAATTGTTATGGCTCAGATCCAAATAGTTCAGAGTGTTTTCCAATCCGTAGAATGTCCTATCTGCTAAGCTATCGAGTCTGTTATACGATAAATCGATCTTATTACACGATACCCCGTTGAATATAGCCGGAGTGATTGACTCAATATGGTTTCCTTGAAGATTAAGGTCTCTTATCTGAACGGATCTGAAGAAAAGTGTGGTTATGGATTTCAGAAAGTTATAAGACAAGTCTAAAGCGACGAAAATCCTCTTTTTAGTGAAGGGTGTGTTGGGGATTTCTGTTATATAGTTGTTTTTCAAATAAAGTTGAGTCAGATCTGGAAGGTTTTCTAAGAGTTTAAAGGGTACTTCTGTCAATAGATTGTCGGAAACGCTCAAAACCTGAGCGGTAAAAGGCAATGCGTTCTCTTGAATCTGAGTTAAATAGTTTCTGTCGAGATATATTTGAGTGAGATTTTTGAAACTCTGAAGTGAAAAGTCAATGTTTGAAGGTAAAGCAAAGAGGTCATTTCCTCCTAGGTAGAGAGCGACTAGTGTTTCTTTGACTTGCATCCAAGAAACTGGCAGGCTTACGATCTCGTTACTGAAAATACAACATAAATAAATAAATATAAATGGATTATACAAATATAAGATTTATTTTTCTCTGTTTATAGTAACATTCAAGAGATGCATACATAATATGATAATAATAATAATAAATTAGTGGATTACTTGCTTATTGATAAATATTACAATCTATCTCAATGAAGGACTCAATAGAGTTCAGAGAGCACTTTCACACCATATTTAGAAAATCAAAAAATAAATAAGGTAATTTCAAAATAATATACAGCGAAATAAGAACAAAATAAAATATCATAAGAATTAAAATGTTCTTAAAAAAAAAGTAATAAAAATAAACATCTAAACCAGACTTGTCCCCCCACTACTGGAGGGAAAAGCGAGGCTTCAGGAGAGATCCCCACGCTTCTTCCTCAACCATTTCGCTGGTATTAAAAGCCAGTGGAGGCTGAGTAAGGGCTAATATGAGAATAAGATACTTAATATTTGAGTATGAGTAAGATTTAATGAGTTTCATTTTTGTTCATAAAAAAATTATTAGTTTCTTTTCGCTAAAACAAGATAGCGGCCGATTTCGACATCACAAAGAATATGCTACTCCCAGATTCTCGAAAATACCCGAATGTGTCCAAAATAAGATGGAGCTGACAGATCCTCAACTATTGATTGTAAATTATCCGCTATAAGAGTGAAATTTTCACTCACCTAGTGGGACTAAATTCAGATGGTAACTGATTACGAACAAATATTTTTCGGTTGACTACATTGAAACATATTGAAAAGTATTGGACCCATGTCTGGTCGTGCGTTCGAATGGGCCTAGACAAAAAATTTCATATAATTAAAAAAAAATTGTATATTATCTATTTTTGGCTATGCTTTAGCCGAACATTTAGGATATTATATATTAAACATTTCTTTAAAAGGTTGATAAAAGCCGAAAAACTTATTCTTAAAATAAATACAGACACAATAAAATATATATTCCACTATTTATGAACTAATTTTATATCCACACGTTTTAAGTACATTTACGCAAGTTGTTCTACTTCATTTACAAAAATAATATAATTAGACCTTATATAAATTATATTGAATTACATATAAATAATTTCTCACCTTTCAAGATTGATAACTTTCAATCTTTCGGATGTTTTCAATGGCGCGAAAGGGACTTCTTGCAAATTATTGAAGCTAACATCTAAGTATTCCAATGTGTTGTACATATTCCTGTAGAATAAATAACATAAAATTATTTATTTGTATATATATATATATATATATATATATATATATATATATATATATATATATATATATCGCATCTACATATAAAAACAAACAATATAGAATTATTTTGTTTTCTATATACACTTCTGATATCCCTGAGCACCCTAATACCACCATTTATTGCTTCGCTGACGACTCTGCTATTCTAACTTAACAAAAAAAATCCTACATCAATTGTCCTACAAAACCATCTTCATGATTTTGAAAAGTGGTTTGAAAACTGGAAAATCAAAATAAATAATAATAAATCCACCCACGTCAGTTTCTCTCTTATGAAAGCCTCGTGTCCACCCATAACGATTGCCAATAATCCAGTGCCTTCAAAGAACTATGTACGGTACCTTGGACTCTACTTAGACAAAAGAAAGACGGTGTCGATAGATGATGTCTTTCCCAGATTGCCAAATGATCCGCTGAATGTCGCAGAGGTACTTAGTGAGCGGCAAAATGAAGCTCTACGCCCTGATGATAAAGTTTGTATGATATGCGGGCTTTCTTTTAAGGGCGAACGAGGTCTCGGAACCCACATTGCAAAAAAACATCCCAGGGAGGCGAATAATAATACATCGAGGGGCATAGTGAAGAATGTGATAGGTCCTAGGAATGGAAAGGGTGAGTCATCAAAAATAAAAGAGGACATTGTTGAATGGTCTACTACGTTCAAGAACCTTTTAAAGCAAGATATGGTGAATACTGCGGATTTTGATGAGGCCGTCGGCAAGTTCCTAAAGTTCCTCAAAGTCATCAATGCGGAACTGCCAGGTCCCCAGCACCCAGCCGTAAAATTTTATAGGATGAGGAAAAAAAAATAAAATGAAAATGGCTGACAAGGGTGCTGGACAAGTCTCAAATCCGCAGAGGGCAAACAAAGTAGACAGGAGTCGTCGGCAAGAGCAGTATCAGTACGAGGTTGCCCAATATAATTATTATAATAAAAGAAAAAAGGTTGTGCAAACTGTAATGAATGCCGACGCTCCTAAACGGTGTCCTCTAAAAATGGCCGAAATCGAGAGGCATTATAAAGACCTCTTTGAGAACGAAAATCTCTGCGGGCGTGCGGATTACGAACAGTGTGCCCCGATGCCGGATTTGCTGTCCATTGAGATAGAAGCTATCAGGAAAGCCATTAAATCAACATCAATGGACACATCGCCGGGGCCTGATGGAGTTCTGATCCGCACAATAAAATATTTTGACGTATCAAGCATTATTAAAACGATTGCAGAGATAATGCTGAAGGTGGCCTATGTTCCGGAACCACTTCGACAAGGGCGCACAATATTGATATATAAGGGCAAAGGTGATATAAACAATATCTCTACCTGGAGACCGATCACCATATACTCGATTGTGCGCCGAATCATAGAGAAGGTTCTGGACTACGAGTTAAGAAAGCAGGTCACCTTCCACAAGAGTCAGAGAGGCTTTATGATAGGCCTCCCGGGAACGCACGTCAACGCGAGGATCATCGACGCGGTATTAAAAGATGCACAAAAAATGAAAAATGACTGTGCGATAGTTTTCCTCGACGTTGTCGGTGCTTTTGACAATGTTGGGCACAAACACATCGTAAGCTCCTTAGAAGCGAGAGGTGTGTCACCGAATCTTACAAATGTCATATCAGCTCTCCTTAGCACGAACACCATAAAGATTGGCAACGGTGTCCATGCAACTAGCCAGATCAAAGTGCTGCGCGGTGTACCCCAAGGCGGCCCCCTGTCGTCTTCACTCTTCAACCTGGCCATCGATCATCTCTACCGCGACCTGTGTGACGAGGACTTTTCCAAGAAATTTGGATACAAATTAAGGAATGAGCAGGATTGTGTGGTCCTCACAGGTTTCGCGGATGACCAGGCAGTGTCGGCGCGTGACAAGGGGGCTGCAGAAAGAGTGATTGACAGCATACAAAGAACATTTAAAGAAATTGGTCTGGCTATAAATCATCAAAAAAGTATGGGCATCGTTATAAATAAAGGAGAGCTGGAAACTACGGTGCTCTCCCTTGAGAATGGTGAGTACATCCAAACATTGAAGAATGGAGAAACGATTAAGTATTTAGGATGTACATTCTCGGGAGAGCTGCAATTCAACGAAGATTCGGTGACTAAATTGAATGATAATCTAAACAAGCTGGTAACCTCTTGCTTACTTAAACCTGAGCAGAAACTCAACATTGTCAATCAATATCTGTTCCCGGGTCTTACTTACCCTCTCCAAACTGCGCCGTTAACAAAGCTACGTCCTGCTATACTGGAGGGCATCGACACTATGATTCGCAGGAGCGTAAAGGCCATTATTGGACTCCCTGCGAATACTTCCACAGCGATGTTGTATGCCCCCCAGGAGATACCGAGGATTGGGATTAATCCGCTGCCAATGGGAGGCTCCTCTTCAACATTGGTCCATTGCTCAGCGACTGTCCAATGTACCAGATGCCCTTTTTCAGTCTACCTTCGATTATTCGGCTGAAATTGCTGAATGCGCCGAGAGATTGGGGGTTGATCAGGGTCATCGAAATGTGAAAGCTCTACGGCAGTCGCTACGAGAAAATGCATTTGAGGAATGGGCCAACTGCAGGTGGCAGGGTATTGGTGTTCGCCATTTTAAAGAGACCCCGAAAGCGAATAGATACATCTACGAAAAGCAAGTACTTTCTGGGTCTGAATGGTTGAATGCCCTAAAACTAAACATTAATTATGCACCCCTGCGTGGAGTCCCAGGAGTCAGCGGACAGGTCAGAGAAGTTGGGTCCCTCTGCCGTAAATGCGGCAGAGAGTCTGAAACACCAGCACATGTGCTGGGAAAATGCCCCAACAACTCCCTCCTCATAACACGTCGTCACCACCGGGTCAAGTTCGAGTTGATGAGGCTCCTTAGGGAAAAAAAATTCACCTGCTTTGACGAGGTATATTGCATCGATAGTGAAGTCTCTACGAGATACGCTGATATCGTCGCATTTCCCAAGACAGGAAGGACAGCGCTGATCTTGGATCCAACTGTCCGCTTTGAGAGCAATGACCTCGATCAGGCGGGTGAAGTGGAAAGGGAAAAGAAGAACACGTACGATAAATGTATCCCTTTCCTAAAAGAGAAATTCCGTGAGACCTTCGGAGAGAGAGAGAGTTCACCGTGAGAGGCCTCTGGTTTGGGTCTCGCGGAACTATCCCAAAAAGAACAAGGAGCTTCCTCGAGGAACTAGGTGTCGACATTAAGGACGTAGCGAGGTTGGCTGAAAATATAGTCCTCGACTCGCTGGGAATCATTCACCACCACGTGCATGGCTAGCCCGAGAGTTTTAATTTATGTATTTGTTTATTTATTTATTTAGTGAATAATTGAAAACAATAGCGATAAAGAGAGAGAAGTGAGAGAAAGGGAAACTTAATGTTAAATAAAAAAAAAAAAAAAAAAAGCATGAACAATGAGAAGAAGGAAAAAGGAAAAAAAAAAAAAAATTATAAAAATAAATAAAATAATAAAAATGTATATATATATTTCTATTTTACTAATATTAACTAATACTTCTGTATATTTATATATAAGTTCATATATTGTCTTAAGGATAGAAGAGTATGCTGTGTATATAGCAACCCAATATAATTGGGCAGCAATCCTTTATATTTTATATTTTATGAAAATAAAGTGTTTCTCTCTCCTACTGATTACAAATTGCTCCGGTTATTGTGTGGAGCATTATACTCCAAAATATTTCAACATTTTTTTCTAAGGTGCTGGTTAGTGTGCAGGTCTCACATCCATACATTAGAACTGTCTTTATCATAGCATACACCCTTAGTTTGAGATTTCTTGAGATTTTTCGGGATTTCAATACCTTTGAAAGGGAGAATAAAGCTGTGATTGAACTAGTTATACGCTGGTCTGCCCGTTGATCATTTATTAAGATTATTGTGAAGCCCAGGTATTTGAATTTTTCTACTCTCGGGAATGATTTTCCTTCTACGCAGATGCTGTTATTAGGGATTCTACAAATTACTTGTAAAACTTTTATGAAAATACGGGATAGACCTATAGAACACTGTGAAAACTTCTAACATCTACGAAATTCAAACTTTTCCATTAAAGTTTTTGAGAAAAATAGCAGACAAATGACTTGCTACACAAAGACATAGAGATTCAAACGTTTTCAGATATTGTAAAACAATTCTATAAAAAACTCCTAGCAGAAACTTACGATATGAATCAATTTGCCTAAACATTTCTTTTCACCACAAACCCGTACATTTTATCGTACCCAGGCAAATTTTTGGGTGATAACTAAGAAATTTCCAAAGTTAACCCCTACATATATCTAATGTGTACATATTTGCTTATTGTGAAGTTTTGTAGATGACAAATTTCAAACCTACCAAAGTTATATATTTGGTAAAAAATAATAAAATAAGTTTTTCTCTCATTATTATTTTTTAATTAATTTTTTTTATACTCTAAACTCAGTTCAAAATCATGAAATTCTTTGGTTATAGAGCAGACGAACACGCTTGTAAATATTTAGCTTGACAAATCTACCTAATATCAGAATATGGTAATTATTCCTCTGTGACTTTAGTGTTAGAATACATTTTTTTGTTTTTAGTATATTTTCATGAGAACCTTAATTGATTCAATGTACAATAGTATTTCAAAGATACTTACAATAACGCTTGGTCATGGATGTCGACAATGTTGTTGCTCATCAAACTTAAAACATTTGTTTTCATGTCTCCGAACGAGTCTGCCAAAATGATTTCCAAACCACATCCAACAATTGAGACAATTTTCATATGGCTATGAGGAAAATCTAGAAACATATTTTATTTGTTAATATGTATATTTAGTTTATTGTAATCAAATATTATCCTTTAAATCCAATTATGTAAATAATAATATATTAAATTAGTTTACCTGGAGCTTTGGCGAAAGGAACACCAACACATGATACTTCCATATCTGTGTATTGTTTCTGCTGATTGTTTTCCAGTTTGCACGAACACATTGTGTTGAAAGAACACGTTCCTATTGTACATGAGCCCCATTGTATAAAAAGAAAGATTGTTATCTGGAAAATTAGTATAAAAAAATTTAAAGTTATGATTCCAGATATATATATCAATAATCTCATAAGTTATGAAATAAATTATTCAAAAAATCAATTATTTGTGAACATAATCAATTTATATTTACATCTTCTTGTTGGAACAGTAATTAAGACATTGGGTGTCCTGGGTTCGATTAAAGTCAGTGTCAGATAATTTCTTTATTTTATTATATATTTTCTGTCCTAAGAAACATAGCACGTGAAGAAACATTGTGGTCAATTTTTTTTTTTGTAGTCGAATGTCATGTGGTATACTAAATCTCTATAAAGTGAGTATCTGATTCTCATTTAGGAAGAGAAGAATACCAGACGGTCAAGTGTGATCGAGGTCAGATAGAGACTGTGATGGCATATAATGGATTATATGTTATATATTTATATACAGGGTGTTTCAGGGTTAATTGGCGAATCTGCAAACATGAACTAAGGAGCTCAAAACGAGAAAAAAATTTCCTCTGAAGGTATGTCGGCAAACGCTTTGTTTAGGAGATATTCACACCTAAAGATTTTCGTTGTTATGAATTATTTACGTTATCTATGTATATAAAAATGAATGTATGTCTGTCTGTCTGTTTTTCCTTTGTGCATCACTAAACCATTCATCCGATCGCCATGAAACTTTGGGAAGTTCTTTCGTATACTCCTGGGAAGGTTTCTGGCATAGTCTTACGATAATTTTATATATGTAAAAAAAAAAAAATAAATAAAAATGTAAATGTTTTTCTGTTCAAAGCCGCAAAAAAATGTGTCGCTATAAACTGTAGCGCCAAAACGGTTTTACCGATTTTAACGAAACTTGGCTAAAGTCTTTCCCTTGAAACCCTTTTAATTTATGTATATAACATAATTTCCTGAAAACAAGCTGAAAAATGTTACGGTGAATTCAATATTATATTTGGCGATAACTAAAAAAGCACACAATTTTTGGTTGATAATACCCATATTTATATGAAAGATTTCTGATAAATAAAATAATCATCGAAATCGGACGGTTCGTTGCAGAGTTATAGAGTTTTAAACATTTACTGCTTTATCTTCAGAAAAAGGCCGTTTCCTTTTGCTTCCTCACTACCGAAGGTCGGCAAGCATTTTTTTTATTGATTAATCGAAAAATTTATAATTACTACAGTAATTGAAGTTATCATTTGAAGAAGTTATATAATTCTCCTTATGTAGGTCAATACTATTATACGTTTTTTTATTAATTTTTTAATTTAGTTTTATAAGTTCAACTCAGACTGTTTCTGATGATTATGAATGACGGCTTATTCACTTAGATGATTATGAATGTTCAATTTGAATCATGAGAAAAAAAATCATTAGAATTAGTTTAAATTGAAGCCAGTTTACAGACAAATTTGTTTTCCAACTTTTTTAAAATGACAGATGTCTGCTGATCTACTCATATGTACTTTCTATTTTCTTTCTTTTTCATTTTGCCAGGCTAAAGGCTCGGTCACACAGAACGCGATCCGACGTTACGTTACAATAACGCGCGATACTCACGGCGATAACTAATCCGGGGCAGTCACACAGAGAGCGTTACTTTGAAAGCGATACAGCAGCCCCGTCGCTCTGCCTGGCCTAGTCGACTAGAGAGCCTGCTTCCCGCAACTTGTATATTAATAATTTGTTTTCAATATTTTTCTTATTCATTTTTTTGAATAGAAAATAAGTGATTCTGACGAGGAGGCTCATTAGTTCAGCTCTTCAGCATAAGGTAAAAAAAAAAAAGAAAAAGGATTCATGAAATCAAAAAGCACATAGACTGATTGGTAGAATACCATCGCCTCGGCCGTCTGCTTCAATTTTACGAAGATAGATTTTTTCAATATTTCCGAATTTTATTTTTGCTTTTTTTACATTTATGTTCTTTTTTAAACATAGATTATTTTATTATGAAATTATGATTGAATGTTTTGTATATCGCACGATTATTTCATGTTTTCAGTGTTTTTTAATCTAATTTCATTAAATGTATTTGATTTAATGACTTATTTATTGTATATATATTATTTTTCTGTATAATTTATTTCATTTATTGTATTTATCTCTGAACACAATTATAAATGTCCTTTGAAACAGATTGTAATATTTTTCAATAAATAAGTTAAATAGAATAAAAAAATTAATGAAATTAAATACCAAGCATTTCGGCCAAAATTAAGTTGTTTCTTTTGTACTATTTTGTTATTCTAAAGGGACTTCGTTCCACAATAAAGTTATTTTTCTATTCTATTCAAGAGGGTTTAACAATCGTGATTTTATTCATATGCATTAAATAATCAGGAACTCTAATTTTAAATATATGTTGATTTCTATTGTCTTGATCGTTAAATAATAAATATTTGGGTCTTTTTACATAAGTATCGCCAGTAACTTTTAGTAGAAAAACAGTTATAATCTCATATGTCATAAATAAATATTTTTTTTTAAACATTAATATTAGAAAAGCAGATAAACACAAAACGGGTTAACTTTATGGAAAACAAATATCGAAAATTTAACTTAATTTACACCTCTGCATAGTTTTACCATTTTTAGAAAGGTAAAATTTCACATCATGTACTCGGAAACATTCCATTTTCTGAGTAATATTCGTTTCTCCTGCATCATTTTGTTACCCTTTAATTGTGATGAAAGAATGTTACTTAATTTTAAGAAGTGCATTAAAATTTCAAACGCTCAATAAAATAATATGTTCATAATTCAGGTTATAATTTCATTTAGGTTTAACTGAAGTTCGTACATGATGAAAATCTTATAAAAAATATATGGTGTTTATGACTAATGATCCTTAGCAGAACTTTTATTTTATAATTATTTTTTTCATTTTTAAAGTTCATTTATTTATTTTATTATTATTATTTTTTTCATTTTTAAAGTTCATTTATTTATTTTATTATTATTATTTTTTTAAAGTTTATTTATTTTATCTTATTACTAATATTTTTAAGTGTATTTATTTTATTTTAATTATTTATTTAGTCTTTTTGGTTTATTATTTTCAATAATGAACCATTGTGATCGACCAAAAAATTCAAAACTTGTCACCCTCTTAAAATTTGAGGTTTTACGTATCAGGATACGTAGATTCGAAAAACGAATTCAATTTTTTTGTCCGTCCGCCGTCCGCCGTACGCCATCCTCCTTCCGCTCATTCTCCGAAACTACTGGACCGATTTTTTTTCAAATTTGGATATAAAATCAAAAGTCGTCCGAGGATGATCTTCCTTCACCGACATTGCCATCCGCCTTTTACTTTCAAGATGGCGGCCGAAAAACCTAGGTTGCTATAGACTATAGCGCCTAAACGAATTAGCGATTTCAATGAAAATTCTTTAGTCATTTTCCAGACGCCCTTTAAATTTATTTATACAACATATTTCAACGAAAAGAAGCTGGGAAGAAAGTTACGGGGGATGGTAAAATTAAATTTCGAATAACTCAAAAAGTATACACATTTTTGTCGATTTTGTGACAAGATGTTTGAAAGGTATTTAAATTTCCTAAAAAATGAATGAAGTTTCATAGAAATCAAAGCACTATTAGTAGAGATATCGCGATTTTAATATATTTTTGGTTTATTATTTTCAATGATGAACCATTGTGATCGACCAAAAGATTCAAAAACTTAAACCCCTTTTAAAATTGTAGGTTTTACGTTTCAGGATACATAGAATACGAAAAACGAATAAAAACTTTTTTGTCAGTCCGCCGTCAGACATTCGCCTTATGCCTATAATGATTTTTAAAGGTTTAAGGGATTTCCTAAAAAAAAATAATTCATTAAAACCGGATAATTAGGAGCAAAGATATGGTCTCTAGTTTTTTCTACTGCAAAGATATATATATATATATATATATATATATATATATATATATATATATATATATATATCTTTTGTTTTGGGTTTTAAATTATTTTTTTAGCATATTACTAATGATTAAAAAAAAAGTTTAGTCCAATAATTGAAATCACCTTTTTTCTTAATAACTAGGAAGGTAATGTTACTTTAAAGGTATAATTATTTGGAAATTGTGCAATAATTTGCAGCGGTTTTTTTTTCAAATTAATTATCGTTGTGTATATGAAAACAAAATCTTACAGGCTGAAGCCCTCCCCCCAAAAATTAAATCTGGGTCCGCTACTGTATATTACTACAATTAGTGCAAAAAAGTCGTATGTAAAATTTTTCAAATTGTATTCCATTTGTATTAAAGGTAACATTTTGTAGTCTGCAACTGATATAAGTAGTCTGCTACTATGGATAGTAGCAGATGACAATAAAATATGAAATTATACTAATAAAGCATAAAGAAATAATGAGTTTTATGCACTCTTGTAAAACAATAAATTATTACATAAGACCTTTTACACTAAAAGTATTGAAATTCATGTTCAGGGTGCATTTTATTTATTTATTTTTTTATTAAGGATAATCAAATATGGGATCTTCAAATACAGCACTCTTTTGTTGAATGTTGAAGAGTAACTATATTTCCGAATCGGCTTCTCCCAGAGATTTTATTCTCATACAAAAAATGGTATACATTGTAATATACAATGACAACGGTGAGGAAGCTATACTGACCTTACTTGGCAGACGTTTTTTTATTTTGAAACTACAACCTGATTAGTTTAAAAGTAGTGTTATTTAATTGATCGGGGATTGATTCATAACCTGGATGTTCTTTATCCAGAGAGACAAACCACCAACCAACTTCATTTAGGTCAGTAAAATCTAAATAATTTATTAAATCTTTAAGCAGCTTAAACAAGTAACAAAAAAAATCTGGTGCGGGTAACACATAACTTTCACTTACCCCACTACTTTTAATAGAAATAATTTTGTGGCAATGTTGGGTTATTTAAAAAAATTTGAAGTGTACTTTAAACGGAGCTAAAGTTTAAAGCTTAGAGATAACAAATCTTTAAGACCAGTAAAATTACAAAAAGT